GTGTGCTATCGATTGTACTGCTCCGGCAGTGTCTGCTAAAAGTCGCACATAGATGTTTATATAGAAGACACAACACGCAAGTCTACCAGTTCCCTAAACGATGATTTCTTTAGAATTATTTAACACATGGAAGTTCACAGCTGATTTACGAGATCGAGACTCACATTGAGCAAAAGCGATACATGACCGAGTGGTAGACTGGCAGATGGTACCTGCCCACAGTCTGGGTCCTCAGGCGTGTTCATCCGTCCTCGGTTGATGAGGGAATCCCAGTGGATAAGTCCAACTAATCAGACCTGTCGGGTGTACATGTATCTGCATCACCAAAGGCTACTTGTAGGCTGCTTCCACAATGATTGTGACTGTCTTGCATTGCTCAAAGCAGACTTTGTGTCCAGACAGAGGTAGAGGGTGGCGGTGGGGCGATGTATGGAGGGGAAGAGATTCAGCGACGATGATAGATAAACCTGCCCTGACACCTCGAGCAGGAGAAGAGAACAGAAGAAGACGAAGGTAAAGGACGAGGACAGATAAACCTGTATTAACGCCGCGAGCCACTGCACGGGTAGAGAACAGAAGACGAAAGTAAAGGACGAGGACAGATAAACCTGCCCTAACGCCGCGAGCCACTGCACGGGTAGAGAACAGAAGAAGACGAAGGTAAAGGACGAGGACAGAGGATGGAAGACATAAAAAGGGTGAATAAACATGAACGAAAATAAGGGGGTTATTCAATACTGAGACCGCGTGATGGGTTTCGGTTCATGCTGCAACATTAATTTCATCCAAATCTCAGATGACAGATAGGGGTGAAGGGCGTGATCGTTACATCTGGCTTTATATCAGTACCTACCCAGTGTTATGACAACCTGAGACAAGTCATGCATGTCTACTGATATATCCGTCAATTTTTGTCCGTGGCAGATCTCGTCCAGGTCACACGTGTTCTCGATGTTGTTCCACTTTCTTGAAACGCTATCCTCCTCCCGTCGTCTCCTCTCTTAGGAACATCTTGTAACAAGGAACTCTGACCCCTGAGATGGCCCATGACTTTAATGATCTAGCATTGTATCCAGTCCATGTTTTCTGTCTGGTCTAATCCTATAGAAATCATAATCATCATCCTGCTAGCTGACCTTTCGAGAGCATCGCCAACCTGCCACAAATTATCTCCATCTCTTGCATTCTCCCGCCCGTCGTTACTTCGATATCACCCGTGCTTACTGTTGCTGGCCGAGTCATGTGTATTTGTCCAGCAAACATTCGGCAGTTTATTGTAAGGACGTAAGACAAGCGATGAACACCCGGTGACACGAAGTGTCACCATGAGGATCCCCCGTGGAGAGGTCCCAGAAACCGCGTTCAACCGTTACGCTATTTTGCGGCCCCCAGCAAAAGCCGGGGTGGGGCTTCAGAATAATGAAAAATTGTGTCCCACATGGGCAAGACGTAGCTTTGGCACAGTTTATTAACCAGTCTGCCTTTTATCACAGGGTCAGGTTGCTTTCATTTCCACGAAATGAGACCGTTTTATGACTCAGTTTTCTTCTAAACTAATATTATATGGAATGTCGTTATTTTGAGTCAAGATAGTTCAAACATGTCGGCTCACAGACCATTTTATTTCTGAACTGATTGTGACTTTTATCCGTGGAAGGAAATCTATTGAGGTTAGATAACTCGCAGCAATGCACATCAAGATAAGCTGCAAGAGTTACCTCCTTCGGTAGACCGCCCGCTTTGGTCAACCAGCCACAGGTTTTACCTGTCTATACTCGGCCAGCAATGGTAGTTAGTACACACACTGGTCACCTCAGCTTAGTATCTGCAGTAACACAGCTGTAGCCTCTACAAAAACGATTTCCGTGATGAATCAAATCAACACGAAAGTATTTCTGCCAGGAGATGAACTTTACTGGACTGGACCAAGTTAGCAGAACTGTCCTACTCCCCGGTCAGACAAAAAGTGTTCACTGATACTTGGAACAAACGTGTCTTCTTTATGCTGAGTGTTAGCTAATACATTCTATTTCCCGTTCTGCCTGCAAACCCTGTCAAATTTCCGTTCCTCGATCTCTTTATGTTTTCCCACCAGTTGTATTATTGTCTTGACTCAGTGCTTTGAGTTTTCCCTCCACAGTATAATGTTGTTATCAAGAAAGTTATGTGGCCAAGTATGGCATGGGTCTCTTGTTGACTGCTTCCATCAGTTGTCGTCCTTGTTACCTCACAGAGAACCTCTACATTTAGCAGCTTCCATGAAATGAGACCCATCTTTATCCGTCAGTTCATTTGTACAAGCTCAGTTTGACAGACCTCTAACTGCCCGCTTATTTCAGTTACTGTTCATTTCTGGACGTCACCAGTGAAATGTTTCTGGCCACTCATCGTCACTGTCAAATGTCTGTCACTGACTCAACAGAAATCAGGCAGAAGTCAATACCAGGACACACAGCAAGTGACCGTTGAAAGGCAAGGTGTAAGAGAACTGGTCACCTCTGAGTGACTCCACCAGCTGGGCAAAGCAACATGTTGACTGTGATACTTGACCAGCTGTATGAAGCAACATGTTGACTGTGATATTGGAACAGCCAACATTTTGACTATGATACTGGACCAGGCAACATGTTGACTATGATACGTGACCAGCTAGACAAAGTAACATGTTGACTGTGATACTGAACCAGATGAACAACACAACATGTTGACTGTGATACTGGACCAGCTAAACAAAGCAAAACAAAAAGTTGACTGATAGTGGAGCAGCTGGATGAAGCAACATGTTGACTGTGATACTGGACCAGGCAACATGTTGGCTGTGATACCGGACCAGGTAATATGTTGGCTGTGATACTGGACCAGGTAATATGTTGGCTGTGATACTGGAAAAAGCAACATGTTGACTATAATTCTGGACCAGCTGGATGAGGCAACATGTTGACTGTGATATCTAACCAGCTGGATGAAGCAACATATTGACTGTGATACCGGACCAGGCAACATGTTGACTGTGATACTGGACCAGGCAATATGCTGACTGTGATACCGACCAGCTGGATGAAGCCCCCCCCCCCCCTCTTCCTAGGAGCACAATGACAAACCACAAGTGACCATTGTGGCTAGAAACACTTCACCAGCACATGACATCAGTAGACATTGTTACAGTTACAGACAAGAACACACAAACAACACTTTACCAGCACATGACATCAAAAGACATTGTTACCGTTAGAGACAAGAACACACAAACAACACTTCACCAGCACATGACATCAACAGACAGTGTTACCGTTACAGACAAGAACACACAAACAACACTTCACTAGCACATGACATCAACAGACAGTGTTACCGTTAGAGACAAGAATACATAAACATTACTTCTCTGAGGTCTGTGCTAGGCAAGACCACAGGTGTGTCAGACCAGTTGAAGTTCTGAGACATGGCCACACAGAATAGCACATCCACTGCCCACGTAACATGGTACATCTACGCCCGACATAGCAAGTCACTTTCACATCCCATGGCACTTCCACAATCTATGTAGCATGGCACTTCCACACCTCACATAGCATGGCACTTCCACACCCCACATAGCATGGCAGTTGAACACCCCACGTAGCATGGCACTTCAACACCTCATGTAGCATGGCTCTTCAACACCAGATGTAGCATGGCACTTCCACATCCCACGTAGCATGGTACTTCAACACCCCACGTAGCATGGCACTTCAACACCCCACATAGCATGGCACTTCAACACCCCATGTAGCATGGCACTTCAAACCCCATGTAGCATGGCACTTCCACATCCCACGTAGCATGGCACTTCCATACACCATGTAGCATGGCACTTCAACAGCCCACGTAAGGGAAAATACTGACAAATGTTGTTAGGTTCCAAGTTGACAATGTTGATTTAGCTGCACTGGCTTATATACTACATGACTCAGTGTGTGGGTTATGGGACTCCATTCTGGACAGACCTTCTGCCTCCCTAACACGCATATCACTACAGGCAATGAATGAAGAGTGTGCCCTTCTCAGCCTCAGTGCACCTATCAGAGAGGTAAGGAACCAACACCCTGCATAAATATTTGCCAGACCTGTTCAATAGATGTGCATACAAAACTAATCACATGGGACCAAGGTCCAGAGGAAGATGAACAACCAAAATTGTCTGTTGGAGTTAACACTTGTGAAGGTGAAGGTGAAGAAAAAATACTATATTTGTAGGACTATTCTGAGAGTGGCAGACCACTGCCTATAGCATAACACAAACCACAAACTCCTTAACTCAGGTGATGATCCCCAGGATTTCCTAACAACCACACTCTTGAAAGAAAAGGGTCTGAAAAAGGTTTTTGTGTATTCTATGTCAATAAAACTAGATTCAAAGAGCACTTGTGGTGCTGGTTAGTGTCCTGGGTTTGTGCATCTGCTTGGGAGGGGAAGAACCAATAGTCTGCACATAAATAAGCCAGATGTGTAAAACAGATGTGCATACACAACTCAAGTTCTGGAACAAGACCAAAGTCCAGAGGTTGATGAACAATCAGAACTTTCTGCCTGAGTTTATTACACCTTTAGTTTACATCTTGAGGAATCCGAGACGTCATGGGGGAGTTCCTGGGAAAGTCCAAAAGTATAGGGGTGGTACGATGCAAAATGAACAGCAACTAACACTAACTCTAAACCTCCACCCCACCCTAGGCAAATTAAACCATGTGAGCTAATTAAGCAGCGTGACCAGAAACAGAGATCTAAGCAGGCACACACAAACTATCAACTAGTCAAGATTGTCCATACAAAAGCTATATTCAAACCAAATGAAACGCGAGTGGTTCCGACCAACATGCAGTCATGCAGGTAGATTACAGGGTGTTTGTAAGATCTTGCATGACTGTTGTCAGTCCTGCTCCACCAACAGGGAGCATTAACACCAATCTTCAAGTGTGTGTTACATGCAAGGCTGCAGAAACAGTCTGCCTCCACTCTGTTCATCGATCCAAGCTGCTTTGCAAGCTGCGCTTCAGTGCACGGGGGGCCAGCTCAAAAGCCGTCTGTTTCTCCTGGAAGTAGAGAAACAACAGGGTCACAGTGCAACAGGGTATGCAGCCATAACATTGGCTTAATACTGATCTGTGATGTCAGCAAACATGCAACTTGATCACAGTTATTGTTCACTCAGTCTAACATCCAGATTCTCAAACTGTCCAGATCACAGTTACAGTTCACTCAGTCTAACATTCAGATTCTCAAGCTGTCCAGATCACAGTTACAGTTCACTCAGTCTAACATCCAGATTCTCAAACTTTCCAGATCGCAGTTACAGTTCACTCAGTCTAACATCCAGATTCTCAAACTGTCCAGATCACAGTTACAGTTCACTCAGTCTAACATCCAGATTCTCAAACTGTCCAGATCACAGTTACAGTTCACTCAGTCTAACATCCAGATTCTCATACTGTCCAGATCACATTTACAGTTCACTCAGTCTAACATCCAGATTCTCAAACTGTCCAGATCACAGTTACTGTTCACTCAGTCTAACATCCAGATTCTCAAACTGTCCAGATCACAGTCACAGTTCACTCAGTCTAACATCCAGATTCTCAAACTGTCCAGATCACAGTTACAGTTCACTCAGTCTAACATCCAGATTCTCAAACTGTCCAGATCACAGTTACTGTTCACTCAGTCTAACATCCAGATTCTCAAACTGTCCAGATCATAGTTACAGTTCACTCAGTCTAACATCCAGATTCTCAAACTGTCCAGATCACAGTTACAGCTCACTAAGTCTAACATCTAGATTCTCAAATTGTCCAGATCACAGTTACAGTTCACTCAGTCTAACATCCAGATTCTCAAACTGTCCAGATCACAGTTACAGTTCACTCAGTCTAACATCCAGATTCTCAAACTGTCCAGATCACAGTTACAGTTCACTCAGTCTAACATCCAGATTCTCAAACTGTCTAGATCACAGTTACAGTTCACTCAGTCTAACATTCAGACTCTCAAACTGTCCAGATCACAGTTACAGTTCACTCAGTCTAACATCCAGATTCTCAAACTGTCCAGATCACAGTTACAGTTCACTCAGTCTAACATCCAGATTCTCAAACTGTTCAGATCACAAGTCTGAAGAGATCTGATATTAAGATTATAAAGCCAATCAGCCATTATTTCAGTCAGCTAGTTTAAGAAATCTCACAATTTACTATCAAAAACAAACTATCAAAGCACTAACTAAACAGTTCCTGCATTAAAATGTGCTAACTAAACAACAGTTCTTGCAATAAAATGTGCTAACTAAACAACAGTTCTTGCAATAAAATGTGCTAACTAAACAACAGTTCTTGCAATAAAATGTGCTAACTAAACAACAGTTCTTGCAATAAAATGTGCTAAACAACAGTTCTTGTATTAAAATGTGCTAAACAACAGTTCTTGTATTAAAATGTGCTAACTAAACAACAGTTCTTGCATTAAAATGTACTAACTAAACAACAGTTCTTGCATTAAAATGTACTAACTAAACAACAGTTCTTGCATTAAAATGTACTTATAAAACAACAGTTCTTGCATTAAAATGTGCTAACTAAACAACAGTTCCTGAATTAAAATGTGCTAACTAAACAACAGTTCTTGCATTAAAATGTACTAACTAAACAACAGTTCTTGCAATAAAATGTACTAACTAAACAACAGTTCTTGCATTAAAATGTGCTAACTAAACAACAGTTCTTGTATTAAAAGTAGCTAGCTAATCAGATCTGGCAAATAGATTTGCTCATAAACCTGTCACTTACAAACAAATTAGATAGATAAATTACAAGGTTTAGTCTTCTGATCTTTACTTTAAACTATAATCAACTACCAATCCTGATTTCAAGAGGACAGTTACATGTTGATGACTCACATTATTTCTGATGTCTGTTCTTGCTCCATGATCGATAAGAAGCCTAGCCACTTCACCATTGCCATCTTCACATGCCAGGTGTCTGTCGAAGGAAATATCACACTACAGGTGAGATCAGTCTCAAGCAGCAGTCATCACCAACAAATGTCAACTGGTCTATACAAATTGTTGAAATCACCAACAACAGCTGACTAGTCTATACAAACTGTTGACATCACCAACAAATGTTGACTAGTCTATACAAATTCTTGACATCACCAACAACTGCTGACTAGTCTATACAAATTGTTGACATCACCAACAACAGCTGACTAGTCTATACAAATTGTTGACATCACCAACAACAGCTGATTAGTCTATACAAAACGTTGACATCACCAACAACAGCTGACTGGTCTATACAAAACGTTGACATCACCAACAACAGCTGACTGGTCTATACAAATTGTTGACATCACCAACAACTGCTGACTGGTCTATACAAATTGTTGACATCACCAACAACTGCTGACTAGTCTATACAAATTGTTGACATCACCAACAACAGCTGATTAGTCTATACAAAACGTTGACATCACCAACAACTGCTGACTGGTCTATACAAATTGTTGACATCACCAACAACAGCTGACTGGTCTATACAAATTGTTGACATCACCAACAACAGCTGTCTAGTCTATACAGATTGTTGACATCACCAACAACTGCTGACTGGTCTATACAAATTGTTGACATCAACAACAACTATTGACTGGTCTATACAAATTGTTGACATCACCAACAACAGCTGACTAGTCTTTACAAACTGTTGACATCCCAAACAAATGTCAACTTCTTCTTCTCTTCTTCTGCCTTTCTATCCCCCAATGGAGCATAGGCCCTCAACCAACTCACACCAAGTCGTTCTATCCTTAGCCATTACATGGAGCTCTCCCCATGTCCTCCCCATTTTTCTAACTTTATTCTCCAGCTTTCTCCATGTGTTTTTTGGCCTTCCTTTATTCCTATGCCCCTGTGGGTTCCAATGCAAAGATATTCTAGTTATGCTGTTTTTTCAGTGTGTGTCCTATCCAACGCCAGGATCTTTTCTTCACCTCTTGGTCCACTGGAGCCTGTTTAGTTCTCTCCCAAAGCTCTACATTAGTTATTCTATCATACCATTTAATTCCCTCTCTTCTGCGCAGGCACCAGTTAATGAATGTCTGTAATTTATTAGTAATTGCCTTCGTTGTTCTCCATATTTCCGCCCCATACAAAAGTACTGATTTGACATTGGAATTTAAAAATTTTTGTTTAGTAATTCTTTTTCACAAACCTCCTAATGCTATGAAAGCACCACTTGCCTTTTGCATTCTTATTTTAATACCTTTATCAGTTCCTCCATCATTATCTACATTACTGCCCAAACAGGTGTACGATTCCAGGTTTTGGAGTGGGGTGCCATTAAGAGAAACCACATTACTATTTGCCTGATTTATTCTCATTATCTTTGTCTTTCCTTTATGGATTTTCAGACCAAGCTGCTGTGATCTCGCATGACATATATTTAATTTATCTTGCATCTGATTCTGTGACAGATGAGAAATATCATCAGCGAAGTCCAGATCCTCAAGCTGTTTTTTAGGGGTCCATTGAATTCCATTCTTGGTGTTAGCGGTTACTGTTTTCATAATCAAGTCAAAATAAGAGAGGCAACAAAAGACATCCCTGTCGCACACCTGTTTTTATTTCAAATGTATCTGTTAGCTTTCCCTCATGAAGAACTCGACATTTCATGTCTTTATATGTTGACTTTACTAAGTTAATAATTTTCTGTGGGATTCCATAGTGCCCCATCAATTTCCAGAGAGATTCTCTCACCAACAACAACTGACTAGTCTATACAAATTGTTGACATGACCAACAACTGTCTACTAGTCTATACAAACTGTTGACATGACCAACAACTATCAACTGGTCTACATAAATTTGAGTTAGCAACAAATACTCGATAGGCCTCAACTGTGACTGTTCTGTTTGTTTTAAGCCTTTTGAGATGCATCCTTACTCATTTCCCTGCCTCCAGCTATCTTTCGTTTGCTATGATGCAGCAGTCTTTTTTGCCATTTTAGGGCACAGGTAACCCCAGAAAAAAAAACCGATGTAAAATTACAAAACATATCAAACTTTCTCGAAAGCCATCACTGAACAGCCCACATGTGCAAGAAATGCGAGAAGCAGTCTGATTGGCTGGTACAAAAACCTGCCAGCCAATTTCAAGGTTTCTATTATATAGGACCGACCGATCGGCCTAGTCATCCTTTTGCTTCGTTGTGTTGGGTCGATATTTCGGCCGCGCAGTCTCCAAAGGGTTAAAACATCAGAAGCATAAACATGCCAAGTTCATGAGCTGACAACTTACAAAGGCGTGCATCCGGTAGCATCCCTGAGATCCAGCGGTGCATCGTGTGCGATCAGGAACTTAACAATGCTCAAGTTGCCTCTGCTAGCAGCTCTGTGTAGCGGAGTGTGTCCTAGAGAATCCACACATTCAATATCCGCACCGTACTTGACCAGGGCCTCACAAATCTGCAGACAGAAGACAACACACGTACTGAAAACACCCAGGCTAATGTTCACCTCTCTTCCACAAACACTCACAAGATATGCCTACTGCTGCTGCAGTTGTTCACTTCACCTGACAGTGTCATCTTGTCTTACTGCAGTTATTTACTTCACCTGACAGTGTCATCTTGTCTTACTGCAGTTATTTACTTCACCTGACAGTGTCATCTTGTCTTACTGCAGTTATTCACTTCACCTGATAGTGTTATCTTGTCTTACTGCAGTTGTTCACTTCACCTGACAGTGTCATCTCATCTTACTGCAGTTGTTTACTTCACCTGATAGTGTCATCTTGTCTTACTGCAGTTGTTTACTTCACCTGACAGTGTCATCTTGTCTTACTGCAGTTGTTCACTTCATCTGACAGTGTCATCTTGTCTTACTGCAGTTATTCACTTCACCTGACAGTGTCATCTTGTCTTACTGCAGTTATTTACTTCACCTGACAGTATCATCTTGTCTTACTGCAGTTGGTCACTTCACCTGACAGTGTCATCTTGTCTTACTGCAGTTATTCACTTCACCTGACAGTGTCATCTTGTCTTACTGCAGTTATTTACTTCACCTGACAGTGTCATCTTGTCTTACTGCAGTTATTCACTTCACCTGATAGTGTCATCTTGTCTTACTGCAGTTGTTCACTTCACCTGACAGTGTCATCTTGTCTTACTGCAGTTGTTCACTTCACCTGATAGTGTCATCTTGTCTTACTGCAGTTGTTTACTTCACCTGACAGTGTCATCTTGTCTTATTGCAGTTGTTCACTTCACCTGATAGTGTCATCTTGTCTTACTGCAGTTGTTTACTTCACTTGACAGTGCCATCTTGTCTTACTGCAGCTGTTCACTTCACTTGACAGTGTCATCTTGTCTTACTGCAGTTATTCACTTCACCTGACAGTGTCATCTTGTCTTACTGCAGTTATTTACTTCACCTGACAGTGTCATCTTGTCTTACTGCAGTTGGTCACTTCACCTGACAGTGTCATCTTGTCTTACTGCAGTTATTCACTTCACCTGACAGTGTCATCTTGTCTTACTGCAGTTATTTACTTCACCTGACAGTCTCATCTTGTCTTACTGCAGTTATTTACTTCACCTGACAGTGTCATCTTGTCTTACTGCAGTTATTTACTTCACCTGATAGTGTCATCTTGTCTTACTGCAGTTGTTCACTTCACCTGACAGTGTCATCTTGTCTTACTGCAGTTGTTCACTTCACCTGACAGTGTCATCTTGTCTTACTGCAGTTGTTCACTTCACCTGACAGTGTCATCTTGTCTTACTGCAGTTGTTCACTTCACCTGACAGTGTCATCTTGTCTTACTGCAGTTGTTCACTTCACCTGACAGTGTCATCTTGTCTTACTGCAGTTGTTCACTTCACCTGACAGTGTCATCTTGTCTTACTGCAGTTATTTACTTCACCTGACAGTCTCATCTTGTCTTACTGCAGTAAGCTTACTAATGAAAATATCCTCCCGGTCTTTTTGCAGTCATTTGACTTCCATGTGTCTTTTAGGCCTTTGTACAGTAATCTTACTTTAAAGTGTCTTCAAGTCTTACTGCAGTAAACTTAACATACAGTAACCTTAACATATAGTAACCTTACTTTAGTGTCTTTGAGATCTTGCGTACAGTACAATAACCTTAATTCTATGTCTTCTTGGTTTTACATACAGTAACCTTCCTTCAGTGTCTTTTAGGTTTTGCGTACAGTAACCTTATTTCAGTTTCTTTTAGATTTTATATATAGTATGATGCCATTACACAAACATGATGCTCATCTATTAGTGATTTGTAGAGTTCACAAACTTTAAGATCAATCTATAGGTGTCTCATTGCATCTACAGATATAAGCTCATCGCTGAATGTCTAATGTAGCTGACAAATGTTAAGTTGACCTCCAATAGTTCCACACACAAATGTTAAGCTGACCTCCAGGTGTCCTCACACACAAATGTTAAGCTGACCTCCAATAATTCCACACACAAATGTTAAGGTGACCTCCAAGTGTCCCACACACAAATGTTGAGCTAACCTCCAAGCGTCTGTTGTGAAGTTGTCTAGAGCTGAATGATTAATGCTTCACCCATATTCATACAAAAGTTCCAAGTCGACTGTCCGATGACTAGCTTGGTCCTCTAACGGACAATGTTCAGCTAACAGTTACACAGAGTTACATCATTTCACCAACACCGATAACAGCGTCAAGAAACATACGTTAAAAGTCATCTCTATAATTGTGCAACAGTCACTTTATTGATGAACACATTAGGACAATACGAATAAACTAGTGATTACAGAACTACTGTCCATTTAATACTCCACAGATAACCAGTGGTATGCTTCCAAGGCGGCATCACATTACAGGGTGACACCTAGCCTCGACTTGGACATGAGTCCACAAGAGCTAACAACCTATGCCCCATCTTTTCATAGCAGTTTCTAGCGTCACTCATCAACTCAGAGACCCTTGTCAGTTCTCACTCTTGAGCTGTAGCCGCTGCTGTGCCTACTGTCAGTCCTCACCCTTGAGCTGTAGCCGCTGCTGTGCCTACTGTCAGTCCTCACCCTTGAGCTGTAGCCGCTGCTGTGCCTACTGTCGATCCTCACCCTTGAGCTGTAGCTGCTGTCGTGCCTACTGTCAGTCCTCACCCTTAAGCTGTAGCCGCTGCCGTGCGTACTGTCAGTCCTCACTCTTGAGTTGTAGCCGCTGCCATGCCTACTGTCAATCCTCACCCTTGAGCTGTAGCCGCTGTCGTGCCTACTGTCAGTCCTCACCCTTGAGCTGTAGCCGCTGCCGTGCCTACTGTCAGTCCTCATCCCTGAGCTGTAGCCACTCCCATGCCTACTGTCAGTCCTCGTTCCCGAGCTGCTGTAGCCGCTGCCGTGCCTACTGTCGGTCCTCCCTCCCGAGCCTAATGTCAGTCCTCACCCTTAAGCTGTAGCCCCTGCCGTGCTTACTGTCAGTCCTCACCTTTGAACTGTAGCCGCTGCTGTGCCTACTGTAAATCTTCACCCTTAAGCTGTAGCCGCTGTCGTGCCTACTGTCAGTCCTCACCCTTGAGCTGTAGCCGCTGCCGTGCCTACTGTCAGTCCTCGCCCCCGAGCTGTAGCCACTCCCATGCCTACTGTCAGTCCTCGCTCCCGAGCTGTAGCTGCTGCCGTGCCTACTGTCAGTCCTCAACCTTAAGCTGTAGCCGCTGCCGTACCTACTGTCAGTCCTCATCCTTGAGCTGTAGCCACTGCCGTGCCTACTGTCGCTGACCAACCCTCTCCAACTCTGCTCCAGTATATACACTCAACGGGAGCATTCCAATTATATACCAATTTCTAATGAACAATCTGAGCTTTCAACAGAAAAAAATAATACACATGATTACCACTAAAAGTCACACATGTCTGAACGTTCTCACAGACTGAGGAGAGGGACACTGACTGGAGACAGGCGAACCCTCATCTCAGCAGCTAGTCAGGCATGAATCTAACTTGTAAAACCTGTGAAGCTGATGTCGCCCACTAATCTCGAGAAACACTTGTCTCTCCATTTAAAGCCGTGTCAGCCGTCTGCCCTCTGTCATCATCATCAACATTAAACTGACCTTCAAGTGTCCCACACACAAAATTTAAGTTGACCTCCAAGTGTCCCACACACAAACGTTCAGCTGAACTTCAAGTGTCTCACACACAAACGTTCAGCTGAACTTCAAGTGTCTCACACACAAACGTTCAGCTGAACTTCAAGTGTCTCACACACAAACATTCAGCTGAACTTCAAGTGTCTCACACACACAAACGTTCAGCTGAACTTCAAGTGTCCCACACACACAAACATTCAGCTGAACTTCAAGTGTCTCACACACAAACGTTCAGCTGAACTTCAAGTGTCTCACACACACACGTTCAGCTGAACTTCAAGTGTCCCACACACAAACGTTCAGCTGAACTTCAAGTGTCTCACACACACACGTTCAGCTGAACTTCAAGTGTCTCACACACAAACGTTCAGCTGAACTTCAAGTGTCTCACACACAAACCTTCAGCTGAACTTCAAGTGTCTCACACACACAAACCTTCAGCTGAACTTCAAGTGTCTCACACACACAAACCTTCAGCTGAACTTCAAGTGTCCCACACACACAAACCTTCAGCTGAACTTCAAGTGTCTCACACACACAAACCTTCAGCTGAACTTCAAGTGTCCCACACACAAACGTTCAGCTGAACTTCAAGTGTCCCACACACAAACGTTCAGCTGAACTTCAAGTGTCTCACACACACAAACGTTCAGCTGAACTTCAAGTGTCCCACACACAAACGTTCAGCTGAACTTCAAGTGTCCCACACACAAACGTTCAGCTGAACTTCAAGTGTCCCACACACAAACGTTCAGCTGAACTTCAAGTGTCCCACACACACACGTTCAGCTGAACTTCAAGTGTCTCACACACAAACGTTTAGCTGAACTTCAAGCGTCTCACACACACACGTTCAGCTGAACTTCAAGCGTCTCACACACACACGTTCAGCTGAACTTCAAGTGTCTCACACACACACGTTCAGCTGAACTTCAAGCGTCTCACACACACACGTTCAGCTGAACTTCAAGTGTCCCACACACAAACGTTCAGCTGAACTTCAAGTGTCCCACATACAAACCTTCAGCTGAACTTCAAGTGTCTCACACACACAAACCTTCAGCTGAACTTCAAGTGTCCCACACACAAACATTCAGCTGAACTTCAAGTGTCCCACACACACACGTTCAGCTGAACTTCAAGTGTCTCACACACAAACGTTCAGCTGAACTTCAAGTGTCCCACACACACACATTCAGCTGAACTTCAAGTGTCTCACACACAAACATTCAGCTGAACTTCAAGTGTCTCACACACAAACATTCAGCTGAACTTCAAGTGTCTCACATACAAACGTTCAGCTGAACTTCAAGTGTCCCACACACAAACATTCAGCTGAACTTCAAGTGTCTCACACACACACGTTCAGCTGAACTTCAAGTGTCTCACACACACACGTTCAGCTGAACTTCAAGTGTCTCACACACAAACATTCAGCTGAACTTCAAGTGTCTCACACACAAACATTCAGCTGAACTTCAAGTGTCTCACACACAAACGTTCAGCTGAACTTCAAGTGTCCCACACACAAACGTTCAGCTGAACTTCAAGTGTCCCACACACAAACGTTCAGCTGAACTTCAAGTGTCTCACACACAAACATTCAGCTGAACTTCAAGTGTCCCACACACAAACGTTCAGCTGAACTTCAAGTGTCCCACACACAAACGTTCAGCTGAACTTCAAGTGTCCCACACACAAACGTTCAGCTGAACTTCAAGTGTCTCACACACAAACGTTCAGCTGAACTTCAAGTGTCTCACACACAAACGTTCAGCTGAACTTCAAGTGTCTCACACACAAACGTTCAGCTGAACTTCAAGTGTCTCACACACACAAACATTCAGCTGAACTTCAAGTGTCTCACACACAAACATTCAGCTGAACTTCAAGTGTCCCACACACAAACGTTCAGCTGAACTTCAAGTGTCTCACACACACATGTTCAGCTGAACTTCAAGTGTCCCACACACAAACGTTCAGCTGAACTTCAAGTGTCTCACACACACAAACATTCAGCTGAACTTCAAGTGTCTCACACACAAACGTTCAGCTGAACTTCAAGTGTCTCACACACACACGTTCAGCTGAACTTCAAGTGTCCCACACACAAACGTTCAGCTGAACTTCAAGTGTCTCACACACACATGTTCAGCTGAACTTCAAGTGTCCCACACACAAACGTTCAGCTGAACTTCAAGTGTCTCACACACACACGTTCAGCTGAACTTCAAGTGTCTCACACACACACGTTCAGCTGAACTTCAAGTGTCTCACACACACACGTTCAGCTGAACTTCAAGTGTCTCACACACACACGTTCAGCTGAACTTCAAGTGTCTCACACACACACGTTCAGCTGAACTTCAAGTGTCTCACACACACACGTTCAGCTGAACTTCAAGTGTCCCACACACAAACGTTCAGCTGAACTTCAAGTGTCCCACACACAAACATTCAGCTGAACTTCAAGTGTCTCACACACACAAACGTTCAGCTGAACTTCAAGTGTCTCACACACAAACGTTTAGCTGAACCTTAAGTGTCCTACACACAAACGTTCAGCTGAACTTCAAGTGTCTCACACACAAACGTTCAGCTGAACTTCAAGTGTCCCACACACAAACGTTCAGCTGAACTTCAAGTGTCCCACACACACAAACCTTCAGCTGAACTTCAAGTGTCCCACACACAAACGTTCAGCTGAACTTCAAGTGTCCCACACACAAACGTTCAGCTGAACTTCAAGTGTCCCACACACACAAACGTTCAGCTGAACTTCAAGTGTCCCACACACACAAAATTAAACTTGACCTCCTAGTGCCCCCTCCCCCCCCCCACACACACACACACAAATGCTCTCACCTCTAAGTGTCCCTTGGAAGCTGCATAATGAAGTGAACTTTGACCGTTGTTGTTGACCGCATTCACCTGTGCACCATGGCCCAGCAGATCGTAGACAATTTGTGTGCGTCCAGCGGAGGAAGCAATCATCAGAGCTGTCCACTGGCTCTAAACAATACAGAGAGAAAGCATCAGAGCTGTCCACTGGCTCTCAAACTGGCTCACATACAGAGAGAAAGTAGAGGAAGCAATCATCAGAGCTGTCCACTGACTCTAAACCAATACAGAGAGAAAGTAGATGAAGCAATCATCAGAGCTGTCCACTGGCTCTAAACCAATACAAAGAGAAAGTAGAGGAAGCAACATCAGAGCTGTCCACTGGCTTTAAACCAATACAAAGAGAAAGTAGAGGAAGCAATCATCAGAGCTGTCCACGGGCTCTAAACCAATACAGAGAGAAAGTAGAGGAAGCAATCATCAGAGCTGTCCACTGGCTCTAAACCAATACAAAGAGAAAGTAGAGGAAGCAATCATCAGAGCTGTCCACTGGCTTTAAACCAATACAGAGAGAAAGTAGAGGAAGCAATCATCAGAGCTGTCCACTGGCTCTAAACCAATACAGAGAGAAAGTAGAGGAAGCAATAATCAGAGCTGTCCACTGGCTCTAAACCAATACAGAGAGGAGCCTTGAAATGAACAGACAACAGACTGGATCCCCAACATCAAAATGAACAGAGAATAGACTAGACACTCAATATAATAATGAGCAAAGAACAGATTGGACACTCAAACTTAGAATGAACAGACAATAGACTGGACACTCAACATCAGAATGAACAGACAATAGACTGGACACTCAACATCAGAATGAACAGACAATAGACTGGAACTCAACATCAGAATGAACTGACAACAAACCGGACACCCAGTATGTGAACACACAATATTCTAGACACCCAACACTGAATCAACATGACTTGCAACACTTATCATTATCACGAACATAACAGACCAAACACTCAATATCACAATAAATGGACAACAGAGTGGACTCCCAGTGTCAGAATTAATTCAATACTGACAGGACACGCAGTATTAGAATGAAATTGCAACAGACAGGATATTCAACATTTTAATAAACTCTCAACATTAAAATGAACATTACATAGACAGAACGGTCAAAATTAGAATAAATATGAAACAGACAGCACATTCAAAATCAGAGTAAGAATATTTGGTGTAGTGATTTCAGTTTCAGGTACGAGTGCAAGGAAGACCATTGTGCTGCAGATAATGAGATCGCTGTACCTCGCCTTAGGCATCAGATGAACTTTATGCTGGTTTTACTGAACATCAAGCAAGACTTCTGCCAAACATCCTTTTCATACGCCTCTCACAGGCTTGGTTGACTACACTGAAGTATTTGATATGGTGAAAACATGAAGAAATGATAAGACTGCTGGAAAATTTAAACACTGTTGGCAAAGCGTGATAATGATTAAAAAAAAGATATATTGACAAAAAGAAACATTCACAAAAAATGATTACACATAAAATGAGGTAAAAGACAGGGATGTGCACTATCACCTGAACTATTCAGTTTGTTCTGTGAAATAACGAGATCCATGTTTTCACTCACAAACAAACATCTCAGTAAATGAAAAGGCAAATTGCTTGACAGCCACCATCACCACAGAGACACCTGCCACTGTTACTTCTAAGAAATCTGGCCAGTGAACTGTGTGGCATCAACCAGGTAATACTAAGACACCTTGCCAGTGAACGGTGTGGTATCAACCAGGTAATGCTAAAACACCTGGCCACTTCTTTTGCCTATTTAGAGCATAATTTATTTAAATTAGTCTTGGTAACACATGTTATCATATTAGAATTGGGGTCAGGATTGCACTGGTGCATCAGGACTCCAAGGGTCGCAGACATTCCTGCGGCCTCTGTTTAAAAATCTCAGTTACATCCTCTTCTCTTATCTATCTCTATTAAAGTGCTCTAAGAGTAAGAGTGCTCAGCTGCTTGACACAATGGCATACCTTTTCATTCTATATTATTTTCTCATTATTATCTTGGGGTTTTTTTTTGGGTGGGGGGGGGGGGGGGGTCCTTTAACAGCTCCTGGTTTGCTCCTTTATCTCTCTAACTGCTCTTTGTCACTATATAAGCTTAGAAAGGAAAATCACTTAAGGACTAGATACCAGCAACTGTAAACAGACGATGCAAAGGTTGTTAAATTATAGATGAAAGAACAGAGCTGGTAAGAGGAGGACTGAAGAGGGTGAGAGATAAAGCCTCAGTATACCCTGTGTGCTCAAGAAAATGACAACAAGAGCAACACAAAAGCTGCTGTGACAATGACATCGACAAACCTCATCTAGTTTAGTCCCTTCCGTGCCGCGCGTAGCGGCGCGGGGGATACTCTCGGAGGTGGCACTGTAGTCGCCGAAAAAAGAAGTTTAAAATTTACACGTTACTGACCCCAGGTCAGCGTACATTTCTGGACTCAACATTTTGGGAGCGTCATTCGGAGGATAGCCTGCGACAGCATTCAGATGCCTGGGAAACCTCTGAGCAACAATTTTCACGTATAAAGGATTTCAATATTGGTAAGTAGTAGAATTCCCCCATTTTCCTCATACTTTTCGTTTCTTATATTTCCCGAGTTACAGCTTTTAAATTTTTGTAGGGCAGGACGGAATGAGGCTCTGTTTAGGTTAAGTTTCTGCGTAGATCATTTGGGACCGTTATTTAAAGGAGAGCCTAAATAAACATTACCCACAAAAACAACAATATCAGCATGACTTTCCTGTGTTGTGTGTCAGTGTCCATGTTGATCATCTCTATGATGAGACAGTCGACAGTTGTGTCAGTGGCAACAATAACATACTAGCAATAATACAGCAGTAGCAATAATTTCAAACAAAAGACAAGCAAAGCAAACTGTCAACTATTACTGGGATGTTAGTCAAGTAATTCATCATCATCATTTTCACTTCTGCTGTTAACTCACTTCGTGGGGAGGGACAGTTTGCAATCGATTGCTTACTAGGCAGCAATGGTTACTGTCACTGTGAGTCGCTGTAGAAACTCTTTAATGTCATCAATCAATCCTAGGGGGGGGGGGGGGGGGGGGGGGGGGCCACTTGCTTTTTTTTTTTACTTCAGATATTTTCGTGTGTAGCACGTTGGTAAGACTAGCGACTACGGTGTCCGGAAATTTGCGATCTTTTGGCAATTTCCGTTACCACGGAAACCGTTCGAAACTTGCTTCGGAAATGTCGGCTGGGGTTTTTTATTGTAAAGGACATTTTAAAAATTTGACTAAAGTAACTAGGTAAGACAGTTAAGACATTCTCTCAAGTTTCAAAGCGAAAAAAAAAAACGAATATCAAAGTATATCATAAATTTTAATCTTTGTTTTCACTGCTTTGTTCAGTAATCAAATGACTTTCACTTTTTTTTTTCATGACTGTGCACACTGTTACTACAGTTGTTTTGCGTACGTAACTTAACTGTCAGCAGACGTATGACGCCAACAAGCAGCACACCAAATTCCCTCCATTTAACTGTCAAATACACAGGCATACTTTACCGTGTCTTTTTTCGAGGCAAGTGACCTATAATTTTCTAGCTTTATTCTCAAAATGCCAAAATTTCCTTCGTAAGCAAGTTTGCAGACTTCATCTGCCGTTGTTTGAGCCGCCATAATTAGTTGTCGTTTTCATGGTTTCCGGAAACGGCCGGCCCGTGGTTGGCAACATTGGCCCCGTTTCTCGGCGACATCATAATTATACAGCAGTAGCGGCCACAAGTTGGGCCGCGGGGAACCGAGCGGGCAAGGTAGAACGGAAAACAGATGAGTCCACGACAATAACCAGATAAACAAGTTGATTGATAACCAGAGATGGAACAATCAATACACGTTCATATGCCATTCCCGTGGTGGAGGCAATTAGTTGTACCTAGAATCACCCTATATAGTTTTCTTCTGCTTTTATTTCTGTTCACAAATATACTCGTTTTTAACAAACTTGCAAAATTAATGAACCCCCTCAACATTTGCACATTAAGTTTAAAAAAGGGCGGGGGGGGGGGGGGGGAGTCCTATTAGAAAATTCCCTAACAATAAAGGCGTTCACTTTGTTTAACTCTTTCTGTCCCACGCAGTTACTTTGACTTGTCCTATCATAAGGAGTTACACTTGATAGTTTTCACTTCTATATTCACGAAAAGTTGATAGACTGAAACTGCTGGGACATATTGAAAGAATGTTTGATGACAGACAGGTAAACATTGTGTACACTAGGGAATTGAATGGTCGTAGACCACGAAGAAGATAATAAATCAAGGAGAGATAATCTGTACAAACACTTTTTGTCCCTGTTGTGAGGACTGCCGACTTGAATGTATTTGAAAGGCAGTTGTAGAAGTGAGTCGTTGATCACCAATTCATTTTCGCCGCCCTGTGCTCGTCCATAGGAAGGAGACTGGTCGCTCTACAAGATCATACTTGTCATGGGGTATTATATTCCAGTACTGGTAGACAATGTTCATGGTTACGATATTCTTCTTCTTCTTCAGCGATCTCTGGTCATGCGCATAATCCACTGTGGGTCAAAACCTGGGATGTCTTTTCAAGGTCTCTTAGGTTTCCCCAAAGCTTAGTTGTCAGTTCTACTGGGTGTTGCCATATGTCGCTCCGCAGCTCCGCCAGGAGAGGACAGTCTTGCAGGACATGTTCTGGAGTCTGTTCAGCACGAAGGCACCGACAGAGAGCTGTTTGGCTCATACCTAATTTATGTGAGTGTTTATTGAGTCTGCAGTGTCCAGTAAGTAAGCGAAAAACTGTGACTTGGTCTGTTCTATTCAAGTGTTTCAGAAAATCTTTTCCGTAGTTATAACCAGTGTTGGTTTTCCAGTCTGTTTCTGATTTTCTCTTAATGAGAGTTTTGACTTCTGGAAAAGATAGTGGCTGGTAGGTCTGTGGTTTGTTACTGCCTTCCTTGGCTAAAGCATCAGCGCTTTCATTGCCTTTGATGCCACAGTGAGATGTAATCCACTGCAAGTGAATTTCTGCCTTTTTTGACAACATAGCAAGTTCCTTTGTTAGACTTTGTAGTGTGCTGTCAGTAGGTTTGGACTCAAGGGCCTGTATAGCTGACAGTGAGTCAGTGAGAAAAACCATCCTGCCTGCGGTAATTTGCAGATTGTTCCTATACTGTGCTGCCATCAAAAAGGCTGCGAGCTCTGCCTTGTAGTTAGAGCAAGTTCGTCTGATGGGGGCTGCTATGGACACAGTAGTGGCATCTGGGTGTTTTATGTAAACACCTGCCCCACCATTCGTAGTTGCCTCTTTTGCTGATCCATCCGTGTAGATTCTCGTCCAGCTGTCCTGTGGGAACATGTTGTTGAGGTGTTCCATTGTGAGTGCGTTATTTACTAAAGCGGGCTCCTCATCTTTGTTTCCCAGGTTTGGGATGGATGTTGACACATTGAGTGTCAATATGGTTACGATATGACATGTTACATGTGCCGGATAGACTGTTATTGTTACGGAAAATAGATAGAGCATGTTAGAGATGCAGTGCAGCCAACCTTTACAGCGGAGACGGCACCAGATTGATTGAAAGGCTACATCAGTCTGGTGTCACATGCAGCCTTGTGTGGGAAAGGCTGTATGATTCCTTGTGTGGGTAAAGATGTGGGATTCCTTGTGTGGGTAAGGATGTGTGATTCCTTGTGTGGGTAAGGATGTATGATTCCTTGAGTGGGTAAGGCTGTATGATTCCTTGTGTGAGTAAAGATGTGGGATTCCTTGTGTGGGTAAGGATGTATGATTCCTTGTGTGGATAAGGATGTATGATTCCTTGTGTGGGTAAGGATGTATGATTCCTTGAGTGGGTAAGGATGTATGATTCCTTGTGTGGGTAAGGATGTGTGATTGCTTGTGTGGGTAAAGATGCGGGATTCCTTGTGTGGGTAAGGATGTGTGATTCATTGTGTGGGAAAAGATGTGGGATTCCTTGTGTGGGTAAGGATGTGTGATTGCTTGTGTGGGTAAAGATGCGGGATTCCTTGTGTGGGTAAGGATGTGTGATTCCTTGTGTGGGAAAAGATGTGGGATTCCTTGTGTGGGTAAGGATGTGTGATTCATTGTGTGGGTAAGGATGTGTGATTGCTTGTGTGGGTAAGGATGTGTGATTCCGTGTGTGAGTAAGGATGTGTGATTCCTTGTTTGGGTAAGGAGATTCCTTGTGTGGGTAAGGATGTGTGATTTATTTGTGTGGGTAAGGATGTGTGATTCCTTGTGTGGGTAAGGATGTGTGATTTCTTGTGTGGGTAAGTATGTGTGATTTCTTGTGTGGGTAAGTATGTGTGATTTATTGTGTGGGTAAGGATGTGTGATTCCTTTTTTGGGTAAGGATGTGTGATTCCTTGTGTGGGTAAGGATGTGTGATTCCTTGTGTGGGTAAGAATGTGTGATTTCATGTGTGGGTTAGGATGTGTGATACCCTGTATGGGTAAGGATGTGTGATTGCTTTAGTGGGTAAGGATGTGGAATTCCTTGTGTGGGTATGTGTGATTCCTTGTGTGGGTAAGGATGTGTGATTTCTTGTGTGGGTAAGGATGTGTGATTTCTTGTGTGGGTGGGGATGTGTGAATCCTTGTGTGGGTAAAGATGTGTGATTCCTTGTGTGGGTATGTGTGATTCCTTGTGTGGGTATGTGTGATTCCTTGTGTGGGTGGGGATGTGTGATTCCTTGTGTGGGTATGTGTGATTCCTTGTGTGGGTGGGGATGTGTGATTCCTTGTGTGGGTGGGTATGTGTGATTCCTTGTGTGGGTATGTGTGATTCCTTGTGTGGGTATGTGTGATTCCTTGTGTGGGTATGTGTGATTCCTTGTGTGGGTATGTGTGATTCCTTGTGTGGGTATGTGTGATTCCTTGTGTGGGTGGGTATGTGTGATTCCTTGTGTGGGTATGTGTGATTCCTTGTGTGGGTGGGGATGTGTGATTCCTTGTGTGGGTAACGATGTGTGATTCCTTGTGTGGGTAAAGATATGGTATTCCTTGTGTGGGTAATGATGTGTGATTCTTTGTTTGGGTAAAGCTGGTTGATTCCTTGTGTGGGTAAGGATGTGTGATTGCTTGTGTGATTAAGGATGTGTGATTCCTTGTTTGGGTAAGGAGATTCCTTGTGTGGGTAAGGATGTGTGATTCCTTGTGTGGGTAAGGATGTGTGATTTCTTGTGTGGGTAAGTATGTGTGATTTCTTGTGTGGGTAAGTATTTGTGATTTATTGTGTGGGTAAGGATGTGTGATTCCTTTTTTGGGTAAGGATGTGTGATTCCTTGTGTAGGTAAGGATGTGTGATTGCTTTAGTGGGTAAGGATGTGGAATTCCTTGTGTGGGTAAGGATGTGTGATTTCTTGTGTGGGTAAGGATGTGTGATTCCTTGTGTGGGTAAGGATGTGTGATTGCTTTAGTGGGTAAGGATGTGTGATTCCTTGTGTAGGTAAGGATGTGTGATTGCTTTAGTGGGTAAGGATGTGTGATTCCTTGTGTGGGTAAGGATGTGTGATTTCTTGTGTAGGTAAGGATGTGTAATTCCTTGTGTAGGTAAGGATGTGTGAATCCTTGTGTGGGTAAGGATGTGTGAATCCTTGTGTGGGTAAGGATGTGTTATTCCTTGTGTGGGTAAGGTTGTTTTGACCTATAATGTGCAACATAAAAGGACGTGATCTTCTTCTTCCAACTCACCGGCTGTAAACTCACCGGCTGTAAACTCTGGCGGAAAGTTCTGGCAGTAGGTCCGTAATTTAATCTTGTTCCAAAACTTGAGTTTTGCGTGCACATTATTTGCATGCAGACTGTTAGTTTCTCGCCTCTCAGCCAGATGCACTCCGACTTCAAAGGAAACATCCATAACTAATCACTTTTTACGACACGCTGGAGGGGGAGGCAGTGTACGTAGCTTAAATACGGCCCTAGATACACAAATTATTAGAAACCAGTTCTTAAAAAACTGCCTGATCTTAGAAATAACCCTGTGACTTAAAAGGATAGAGTCTCAGTCATGCTCCCTTGCAGACATAAAAAGAAAGTTGTAAACTTGTACACCCCCCCCCCCCCCACTTGCCACCTAACCCCGTTTCTCTACGATTAATTCCACACACTGCCCGAGCCTTGGTGCCCGGGATGACTTTGTTGAGAATACAGAGCGTGCGGACATACAAAAAGTGTGTAACTAACAAAACATACGGCTAAAGCTACTTCTCTTCGCTAAGACTGGCGTCTGTTAAAGTGCGCGCGCGTGAGTTGAATGAACATACATCTGGGATCCTAGATATGCTGCTCGCCCTAGTTCTGCAGGTCGACGTAGTTCCCAGAGTGAGCTGTTTTGTACAACACACCGAGTGTAGACTCCGAGGCTAAAGCAAAGTTGCAGATGAAATGGCGCGCTACAAGAACATGTGCACCTATTTACGGAGAACACTATGTTTGAGGTAAATCTCCATTTCTCGGCACGTTTTTTGAGTATGTTTATGAATGATAACTGTGCAATATTTGGTCGCAAACTGTGGGATTTTTACTTATCTGAGGCATACAGTATTTATTTGTTGTTTCAAATAATCCCTCTTTTTGTTGCAGATTTGTGATACTGTTGTTGTGTCCATTGTGACGATGGTATAATCATGTCTTTTTGACATCTTTAATATTCCGTAGACAGCAAGATTTTGTTTTTACGTGATTCGAAGTGTGGATTCCTGTTTTCTTACTTGGTCATTGATGACACTAAGGATCGTTTAGTGTTTACCTGCCACAACACACAAGGCCATATACACATATTCTTTGCAACGTTATATATTCCCACATTTGGCTAGCTTCTATCAAGCCAACGTTTTATATTCCCACATCGGGCTAGCTTCTATCAAGCCAACGTTTTATACAACACATTTAACATTGTATTATTCTCGCAGTCATGTGCAATGTGCAGTCATGTATATGACATTGGTTGCCATGCCTGTCTATAGCCTTCTGTCTCGTGTCCTGTATATGACATTAGTTGCCATGCCTGTCTACAGCCTTCTGTCTCGTGTCCTGTATATGACATTAGTTGCCATGCCTGTCTACAGCCTTCTGTCTCACAGTCCTGTATAAGACATTGGTTGTCATGTCTATAGCCTTCTGTCTCGTGTCCTGTATATGACATTGGTTGCCATGATTGTCTATAGCCTTCTGTCTCACAGTCCTGTATAAGACATTGGTTGTCATGTCTACAGCCTTCTGTCTCGTGTCCTGTATATGACACTGGTCGCCATGCCTGTCTACAGCCTTCTGTCTCGTGTCCTGTATATGACATTAGTTGCCATGCCTGTCTATAGCCTTCTGTCTCACAGTCCTGTATAAGACATTGGTTGCCATGTCTATAGCCTTCTGTCTCGTGTCCTGTATATAACATTGGTTGCCATGCCTGTCTATAGCCTTCTGTCTCGTGTCCTGTATATGACATTAGTTGCCATGCCTGTCTATAGCCTTCTGTCTCACAGTCCTGTATATGACATTGGTTGTCATGTCTATAGCTTCTGTCTCACAGTCATGTATATGACATTGGTTGTCATGTCTATAGCTTCTGTCTCACAGTCATGTATATGACATTAGTTGCTACGCCTGTCTATAGCCTTCTGTCTCACAGTCCTGTATATGACATTGGTTGTCATGTCTATAGCTTCTGTCTCACAGTCATGTATATGACATTGGTTGTCATGTCTATAGCTTCTGTCTCACAGTCATGTATATGACATTAGTTGCTACGCCTGTCTATAGCCTTCTGTCTCACAGTCCTGTATATTACACTGGTTGCCATGTCTTTAGCCTTCTGTCTCGTGTCCTGTATATGACACTGGTTGCCATGTCTATAGCCTTTTGTCTCGTGTCCTGTATATGACATTGGTTGCCATGCCTGTCTATAGCCTTCTGTCTTGTGTCCTGTATATGACATTGGTTGCCATGACTGTCTATAGCCTTCTGTCTCGTGTCCTGTATATGACATTGGTTGCCATGACTGTCTATAGCCTTCTGTCTCACAGTCCTGTATATGACATTGGTTGCCATGTCTATAGCCTTCTGTCTCGTGTCCTGTATATAACATTGGTTGCCATGCCTGTCTATAGCCTTCTGTCTCACAGTCATGTATATGACATTGGTTGCCATGCCTGTCTATAGCCTTCTGTCTCACAGTCCTGTATATGACACTGGTTGTCATGTCTATAGCCTTCTGTCTTACAGTCCTGTATATGACATTGGTTGCCATGCCTGTCTATAGCCTTCTGTCTTACAGTCCTGTATATGACATTGGTTGTCATGTCTATAGCCTTCTGTCTCACAGTCATGTATATGACATTAGTTGCTACGCCTGTCTATAGCCTTCTGTCTCGTGTCCTGTATATGACATTGGTTGTCATGTCTATAGCCTTCTGTCTCGTGTCCTGTATATGACATTGGTTGTCATGACTGTCTATAGCCTTCTGTTTCACAGTCCTGTATATGACATTGGTTGCCATGCCTGTCTATAGCCTTCTGTCTCACAGTCCTGTATATGACATTGGTTGCCTTCTGCCTCGTGTCCTGTCAATCATTCACGATATAGAAGTTCTTACAAACATGATGCCAGTGCGTCTCTAATCTTCTCTCCTGGTCTTCACCTGCTTCTCTTCCCAGGAAAGTGCACTGTTGTCACGATGTAGTTCAGAGGTCCCCCTTCTCACAACATGCCCAAGTTATGTCAACTGTCTCATTAATAGGAGAATACTGAATCAGTTCTCTTCATGGCTTAATTTCCACATCTGGGTGATGCTGGTCATATCAGTTCTCTTCGTGAGCTAGCGTCCATACCTCTGGTGCTGCACACTAGACATTTTCTGTTAGGGACCAGTGACTTTTGACCATTCAGTTCCTCGTCACACGCAGCACACTAGACATTTTCTGTTAGGGACCAGTGACTCTTGACTATTCAGTTCCTCGTCATGCGCAGCACACTAGACGTTTTCTGTTAGCGACCAATGACTCTTGACCATTCAGTTCCTCGTCACACGCAGCACACTAGAGGTTTTCTGTTAGCGACCAATGACTCTTGACCATTCAGTTCCTCGTCACACGCAGCACACTAGACGTTTTCTGTTAGCGACCAATGATTCTTGAGCATTCAGTTCCTCGTCACACGCAGCACACTAGAGGTTTTCTGTTAGCGACCAATGACTCTTGACTATTCAGATCCCGTTCACGTGGGGCTACCAGTAAAGACAGTAATGTCACAAGAATTCCCCCAAATATCTGTGCATAACTTTTGATAGTTGCCTGTCTTTCAAGCACCATATGTCCAAATGTTAAAGGTGAGAAACATACTCAATCCGCTGAAGGTTATGTCATCAACAGATATGGAACAAATATTTATGTACATACTATCAATCATATTAGATATGGAACAAACATTTATGTACATACTATCAATCAACAACTCAATCCACCGAAGGTTATGTCATCAACAGTTACGGAACAAAGATTTATGTACATACTTTCAATCAACAACTCAATCCGCCGAATGTTATGCCATCAACAGATACGGAACAAAGATTTATTTACATACTTTCAATCAACAACTCAATCCGCCGAAGGTATGTCATCAACAGATACGGAACAAAGATTTATTTACATACTTTCAATTAACAACTCAATCCGCCGAAGGTATGTGTCATCAACAGATATGGAACAAACATTTATGTACATACTATCAATCAACAACTCAATCCGCCGAAGGTTATATCATCAACAGATACGGAACAAAGATTTATGTACATACTTTCAATCAACAACACAATCCGCTGAAGGTTATGTCATCAACAGATACGGAACAAAGATTTATGTACATACTTTCAATCAACAACTCAGTCCGCCGAAGGCATGTCATCAACAGTTACGGAACAAAGATTTATGTACATACTTTCAATCAACAACTCAGTCCGCCGAAGGTATGTCATCAACAGATACGGAACACAGATTTATGTACATACTTTCAATCAACAACTCAGTCCGCCGAAGGTATGTCAACAACAGATATGGAACAAACATTTATGTACATACTATCAATCAACAACTCAATCCGCTGAAGGTTATGTCATCAACAGATACGGAACAAAGATTTTTGTACATACTATCAATCAACAACTCAATCCGCTGAAGGTTATATCATCAACAGATTAGGAACAAAGATTTATGTACATACTTTCAATCAACAACTCAATCCGCCGAAGGTATGTCATCAACAGATATGGAACAAACATTTATGTACATACTATCAATCAACAACTCAATCCGCCGAAGGTTATGTCATCAACAGATACGGAACAAAGAGTTATGAACATACTTTCAATCAACAACTCAGTCCGCCGAAGGTATGTCAACAACAGATATGGAACAAACATTTATGTACATACTATCAATCAACAACTCAGTCCGTCGAAGGTATGTCATCAACAGATACGGAACAAAGATTTATGTACATACTATCAATCAACAACTCAATCCGTTGAAGGTTATGTCATCAACAGATACGGAACAAAGATTTATGTACATACTTTCGATCAACAAGATGCCGTGAAGGTTGACTGAAACGGTTCTCCAGCACGTTTTGTCTTTTGCTTTGGTTGTACACTCTCTCACACTGTCGGTTGACTGAATCAGTTGTCCAACACGTTTTGTCTCTTGATTTGGTTGTACACTCTCTCAGACTGTCGGTTGACTGAATCAGTTCTCCAACACGTTTTGTCTCTTGATTTGGTTGTACACTATCTCAGACTGCCGTTTGTCCACCTCTTGATGTTTATCTACCACCTGTATCTTTGTCTACCTCTTGCTTTCTGGACAACGAACATTTTCTATAGTATGGTTATGGGGTGTTATATCTTTTAATGTGGCCAAAATATTTCAGTTGTCTCTTTTTTTAAAATTTCCTTCAGTAATTCTCTTTTCATTTGTGGTCTTTCCATTGTTAATTAGCATTTTTTTTTTTTCGAATGTTAATATCTAATCTATGTTAGTAAAGTTGATACGTTTAAGTACTTGGGTACACTGATAACATCAACGGAAGGTGTATTAAAGAAGATGAATATAGAATAGTTCAAACAAAGGCAGCATTTTACAAAGTGAAGAATATTCTATGCAATCTTCCTTTGTCAATGGAGATGAAAAAGAGAATTTCTAAAAGCTAAATAAATCCAATCCTGATATATGGAAGGGAATCATGGACAGTTGTTCAGTTAGGGAAAATTATTGGAAGTCGTGGAGGTGTAGGTTTATAGACGAACGATAAGGATACATCGGCTAAAACAGGCGAACGACTTTACATGGGGAGCATTTTTTCTTCTTCAGAAGACAGAAGAATTATTAAGGAAATCCAGCAACGATACAATAAAGCTAATCAAGTTTTAGGGCAAATTACACCAATATTAAAATACAAGCACGTGAACATGAACAATAAAAGAGCACTGTTCAACACAAATGATATCACAACGGCTAGTTTGAGAATGGAGGTGGAGGCAGTCACTGCTGCTGGCTTGACTATCAGCTGTACAGGCATGCCGTGATTGTCACTGACTCACAGAGCATTTTGAGAAAGGTGGAGACAGGCAAGCTCCGTGCAGAGTGGCAAGCGTCACTTTAGAGGTCCTGGATAGTTATTATCCTTTGGATATTCTCTCCGGGTAATGCCTATCGGTTGAATGCGTTTTCCGGGATCTTTGTGTTGACACTTTGTGTCACCGGGTGTTTATCGCTCTGTGTGATGTCCTAGGGGTGGGGGGGGGGGGTGAAAGTTTAAGTACTTACTGCGGCTGGCTTTCTGCCAGTAACAATGTGTCATCAGCTTATCCTCGACAGGGCCGTCTCAACACATGGGTCCCCTGGGCCTTGCCTGGAGGCCCCAGGAGCATAGGCACCACCTGTCAAATGACTTGCTATATATAAAACAAATATGTAGGACGTTTCAATTAATTCTATGTAATATTTCCGAAATTATACTCTCTCTCTCTCTCTCTCTCTCTCTCTCTCTCTCTCTCTCTCTCTCTCTCTCTCTCTCTCTCTCTCTCTCTCTCTCTCTCTCTCTCTCTCTCACATATATGGAATGTTTCTTCAAGTTCACCCGCATCTTTTCTCATGGAGCAAAGAATCTAACATTGTTGTGGATATTTCCGAATGAGAACAAAATTCTACTAACATACTGTCTTGGTCAGTGTCACGATAATTCACCAGAACTGTCAGGACATCTTAGATTGCAAGCGCCGATCCATTGATGTCCCATGCGCTGGACGACATCTTAGATTGCAAGCGCCGATCCATTGATGTCCCATGCGCTGGACGACATCTTAGATTGCAAGCGCCGATCCATTGATGTCCCATGCGCTGGACGACATCTTAGATTGCAAGCGCCGATCCATTGATGTCCCATGCGCTGGACGACATCTTAGATTGCAAGCGCCGATCCATTGATGTCCCATGCGCTGGACGACATCTTAGATTGCAAGCGCCGATCCATTGATGTCCCATGCGCTGGACGACATCTTAGATTGCAAGCGCCGATCCATTGATGTCCCATGCGCTGGACAAGGTCTCAACCTGGTAGAAGTGAAAGCAGCCTGATGGTTGTCTACAGTTTGTACAATTCTGTGACTGTGTTCAGCATCTGTATTTATGTAATTGTGTGCTTATCGGTGAAATGTGTTGACATCATCGCTAGGACAAAACTGTGTGCTGAAGCGTCTCTCTGACACGTGATAGTCAAAGTTTACAGCTGTGAACGTTTCGTATGGGGGTCTCGATAAATGAAAACATGGACTGGATTCTCTATCAGCTGACAATGAACAACAGCTAGTGAATAGAATTAGACAGGCCTAGGAGGTAAGGGGGAAAAAATGGGATCAGGCACGCGGAAACACGAACATCCTAATTGCCACAAATCTTTTTGAGCCCTGATTTGTCACCCAGCTACTGAGCTGAATGGATGATGCAACCAAGGGCAAAAATGTATCATTAAGTCACAGAGTATAGGGAACAGCTTCTACATAAGCCACAGGGCGACACCAATGGGCACAGACTGAACAAGGGTAGATCGTGGATGGCACAGGCTGGACTAGGGTGGATCGTGGATGGTACAGGCTGAACAAGGGTAGATCGTGGATGGCACAGGCTGGACTAGGATGGATCGTGGATGGTACAGACTTGACTAGGGTGGATCGTGGATGGTACAGGCTGGACTAGGGTGGATCGTGGATGGTACAGGCTGAACAAGGGTAGATCGTGGATGGCATAGGTTGCACTAGGGTGGATCGTGGATGGTACAGGCTGAACAAGGGTGGATCGTGGATGGTACAGGCTGGACTATGGTGGATCGTGAATGGCACAGTCTGAACGAGGGTGGATCGTGGATGGTACAGGCTGAACAAGGGTGGATCGTGGATGGTACAGGCTGAACAAGGGTGGATCGTGGATGGCACAGGGTGAACAAGGGTGGATCGTGGATGGCACAGTCTGAACAAGGGTAGATTGTGGATGGCACAGTCTGAACAAGAGTAGATTGTGGATGGCACAGGCTGAACACGGGTAGATCGTGGTTGTCACCTGCTGAACTAGGGTGGATCGTGGATGGCACAGTCCGAACAAGGGTGGATCATGGATGGCATAGGCAAAAGTTACTATCAAAAAATGTTTCTGCTACTAAAAAGATAGGAATGGGTCACAGTGCCGTCCAGCAGAGCAGCACTGCTCATACTGATAGTTACCTTGGACTGGGGGTGTCGGGAATGGACAGACTGCAGTACAACAGCTGATCAGGGACAATTCCCTATCATATGACATTCATTATATTAGTGACAATTCCCGATCATGTGACATTATATCAGTGACAATTCCCGATCATGTGACATTATATCAGCGACAATTCCCAATCATGTGACATTATATCAGTGACAATTCCCGATCATGTGACATTATATCAGCGACAATTCCCAATCATGTGACATTATATCAGTGACAATTCCCGATCATGTGACATTATTACTTAGACAGATATATCTGTAGTGAAATGTGACAATTCCCGATCATGTGACATTATTACTTAGACAGATAGATCTGTAGTGAAATGTGACAATTCCCGATCATTTGACATTATTACTTAGATAGATTGATCTGTAGTGAAATGTGACAATTCCCGATCATGTGACATTATTACTTAGACAGATGGATCTGTAGCGAAATGTGACAATTCCCGATCATGTGACATTATTACTTAGACAGATGGATCTGTAGTGAAATGTGACAATTCCCGATCATGTGACATTATTACTTAGATAGATGGATCTGTAGTGAAATGTGGCAATTCCCGATCATGTGACATTATTACTTAGACAGGTGGATCTGTAGTGAAATGTGACAATTCCCGATCATGTGACATTATTACTTAGACAGATGGATCTGTAGTGAAATGTGACAATTCCCGATCGTGTGACATTATTACTTAGACAGATGGATCTGTAGTGAAATGTGACAATTCTCGATCATATGACATTATTAGACAGATGGATCTGTAGTGAAATGTGACAATTTTCCGATCATGTGACATTATTACTTAGACAGATGGATTTGTATTAAAAGGTGACAACAACGTATGCAGGTTTATTGCGTAGGTAAATGAACGCTGTTTGGGGGAAACAAAAACACTCTAGTTTAATGTCACAGTTTCCTGTATTAAAGGAAGGCATTTATGATAGCTTTCTGGCGGCTTAAAAGCAACACAGCACCCAACATATTAAAATCAACACGGACTCACTGTGCAACAGAACATAAATATTATCTCAACGGGAACGGGCGAGAGGAGGGGAGGGGTGAGATTCCAGTGGATATTCAACGGTGATGGGAAGACAGGCGGACTTTCAAACAGATTACGACTGGAACTATAAACAGTGGAACCCTTCCTTGGCTACTGAGGAAGAATTTGCACGGGAGGGAATGTCCCGACTGCTGTTATGTCACATCTTGATTTATTCATTATAATAGGATATTTCTGTGTACTGTGTTAGACACAGTAAGATTTTTTTTTTTTTTTACGTATAATAAACTAATCAGTCAAATCGTGTTCCCCCCCCCCCCCCAATCAGGTTGTTAATTTATTTTGTTTTTCTATTACTGGCTTTCTCATGAACACATTTGTCTATTTGTGTCCACAGAAGAGTGTTAATTTCTTCTGCACTGACGCTATCATCGTGTGCTTTAGTTTTATTTTGGAGCCAATCATACCGAGGATTCGGTCTGTGGTCCGACACAAGAAACCAGGGGCAGACCACAGCCGACTACTTCACAGCAGCAGAACTACTCAGCCAACAGGAGCAGCAGCTATCTTCTGAAGACGAGCTGATCCGTGTCGTCGACAAACTGGACCAACAGGAGCACCAGCTGTCCTCTCAAAACGAGCTGATCCGTACCGTGGACAAACTGGACCAACAACAGGAGCACCAGCTGACTTCTCAAGACAAGCTGATCCGTGTCGTCGGCAAACTGGATCAACAGGAGCACCAGCTGTCTTCTCAAGACGAGCTGATCCGTGCCGTGGACAAACTGGACCAACAACAGGAGCACCAGCTGTCTTCTCAAGACGAGCTGATCCGTGCCGTGGACAAACTGGACCAACAACAGGAGCACCAGCTGTCTTCTCAAGACAAGTTGATCCGTGCCGTGGACAAACTTCCCTTTAGGACAATGACCCCATCACTCTTATTGCTGGAGGACTTGTACTTCAACCCGAGCCTGCAACAGCTTGTAGAATACAACAACCCAGTGCTCCACCAGCCTCAGATCAACTGTAGCCAGTCCACACTTCTGATCCTAGTTCCCTCACACCCGAGGTCTGTGGCTGAGAGACGGGCCATCAGAGAAACCTGGGGCTCAGTGGCGCGTGGCAGGCACTGGCCAGGTAAAGGTGACAATTTTGGAGTGATACTCGTTTTTGTGTTGGGTGTTGCTGAAGCTCAAGAATTCCAGCCTGAAAACATACAACGTGCAAAAAGTGTACTCAGACAAGACGTCGACGCACTCAGGTCCAACACAGATTCCTATTTCACTGAAAGCACAGACAGAACATTTTTTGATAGAACAAGCAACACAAGTTCAATATTAATGAAAAAAGACAGCATCATAAATTTGGTTTATGAAAAAGCTGGCGATGCAAACAAGGAGACTTTGGATAATATGGCTTATGTCCTGGGCATGAAGACAGTTCACAATAACAGACTGCGACACAGCCTCAAAATGTGGAGAAACCACTTTATCACCGAACAGTCCAGTCAGGCGAAGAAGCCCACTATGGAAGGGGGTATCAACGCCTTGTTATTAAGGTCAGACAAGTCCATACACAAAACATCCACCACCCCACACATGCCGACCACACCATATTCCCACAACGATGCTAATCTTTTAGAAGAGATTTTTTCATTTGGTGACATTTTACAATTCGATATGATTGATACATACGCAAATCTAACTCGAAAAATGATCATATCTTTACAGTTGTTGTTGAAAACATGTTCCGGTGTGAAGTTTATTCTGAAGGTTGACCCAGATATTTTTGTCAATGTTCCACTTTTAGCAACATTTCTCGGTCGTCATGGAGACAAGAATTCCGTTTATGGGCGCATTTATCCTAACTCTGCGGTAGAAAGGACGGGCAAATGGGCGGTGGCCAAAAGCGCCCTGCCCATATCCAGATACCCTATCTACGCGGCAGGCAACGCCTATGTCATGTCTGCAGATGCCGCGGAGAAGATTGTCGGACTGGCTTCTCGTTTTCCATATATTCTCGTGGAAGATGCTTTCATCACCGGGATCCTGGCATCTGTAGGTCGAATTAACCGAGTTAACGTGGCTGGGTTCACAAAATGGACCGAGCCTAAGCCGGACGCATGCGACTTTGTCACTGATAAGATTTACGTGGGTAATAATTTCACCGAGTACGACCATCGTCTCTACTGGAGGGAAATAATTGATAGAGGAGGTTATCGGTGTGACGTGTGAACACACATGGACACTTGAGGACGCTTCAACTTAGTTTTGTAGTTAGTAGTTGTGTCAAAAAACTTCAGCCGCTTCACAACCGTGTCCCTTACCCCCCCCCCCCCCCAACATCAGTGTGTCTACAGTTGTGCTCGTTAATCCACCTGTGTGTCTACAGTTGTGCTCATTAATCCACCCCAGTGTGTCTACAGTTGTGCTCATTAATCCACCCGTGTGTCTACAGTTGTGCTCATTAATCCAACCGTGTGTCTACAGTTGTGCTCGTTAATCCACCCGTGTGTCTACAGTTGCGCTCATTAATCCACCAGTGTGTCTACAGCTGCGCTCGTTAATCCACCCTAGTGTGTCTACAGTTGTGCTCGTTAATTCACCCCAGCATGTCTACAGCTGTGTTTGTTAATTCACCCAAGTGTGTCTACAGTTGTGCTCGTTAATCCACCCCAGTGTGTCTACAGTTGTGCTCGTTAATCCACCCCAGTGTCTACAGCTGTGCTCGTTAATACACCCCAGTGTGTCTACAGTTGTGCTCGTTAATACACCCCAGTGTGTCTACAGTTGTGCTCGTTAATTCACCCCAGCATGTCTACAGCTGTGTTTGTAAATTCACCCCAGTGTCTACAGATGTGTTTGTTAATTCACCCCAGTGTGTCTACAGCTGTGTTTGTTAATTCCCCTGTGTGTCTACAGCTGTTTGTCAATTCACACCAGTGTGTCTACAACTGTGTTTGTTAATTCACCCCAGTGTATCTACAGCTGTGTTTGTTAGATCACCCCAGTGTGTCTACAGCTGTTTGTTAATTCACCCCAGTGTGTCTACAACTGTGTTTGTTAATTCTCCCCAGTGTGTCTACAGCTGTGTTTGTTAATTCACCTCAGTGTGTCTACAGCTGTGTTTGTTAATTCACCCCAGTGTGTCTACAGCTGTGTCCCTTACTTCACCCTAGTCAGTCTACAGCTGTGTCCCTTACTTCACCCTAGTCAGTCTACAGCTGTGTCCCTTACTTAACCCCAATGTGTCTGCAAGCTGTGTCCCTTACTTCACCCGTCAGTCTACAGCTGTGTAATTCTTCTTCTTCTCTGCGTTCACCAGCTGTACACTCTGGCGGAAAGTTCTGGTTGCTCGTCCACTACTGAACTGCAGTCCTGCTCCAGAACCTGAGTGTTGCGTGTGCATCAGTTTTGCAGATCTCATTCTCTTGAATACAGACTGTTGGTTCCTTGCCTCTCCGGCAGATGCACTCTATCTTCAAAGAAGGCTCCCCAATTAGTCCACTCTTACAACATGCTTTTGGGGAGGCAGTGGGTCTATTCTTGTTTCCCCACAATGGGGGCCCCGGAACCCACACTGGGGAGCTGTGTAATTTAATTCAATCTAGGTGGTCTACAGCTGCGTCCCTTATTTCACCCTAGTCGCTACAGCTGTGTTCCTTACTTAACCCCAATGTGTCTGCAAGCTGTCCTTTACTTCACCCTAGTCAGTCTACAGCTGTGTCCCTTACTTCTCCCCTGTGTCAGCAAACTCAGTAGACCTCAGAGAGGTTCAGAACATTTCTCCTGTTTTCCCCAGCCTGTGGATGTAAGAATCTTGAAGAACACAGTTCTAGGGGATTCAGCAATCAATGTGGCTGCAGTAGACCTCAGAGAGGCTCAGAACAACATCCCTCCTCAGGAGCACTGGACTCAGAATGCAGAGTTGGCCAGCCTGTGTGACAACCATCAACAACAGCAAGAAAGTGAAAGAAAAGCCAATGACAAATACAGTAAACGGTCATTATGTCTACAAAGTTTTGTTTTGTCATTTTAATTAAACAACCATAACAAATATAATGACAGCAATAGCAGGACATCAACAATAAAATAACAAATGCTAGAAACAAGCGTCACCTCCACAAACATACATCAAGGCAGCAGACAAGGGTTCCCTCACTCTCTCACAGGACATCAACAATAAAATAACAAATGCTAGAAACAACTCCACAAACATACATTTAGGCAGCAGACAAGGGTCGCCCCTCTCTCTCGCAGGACATCAACAATAAAATAACAAATGCTAGAAACCACAAACATACATCAAGGCAGCAGACAAGGGTCCCCTCTCTCTCTCTCACGCAGGACTATCTGTTCCTTGTTGTGATCAATTATTTATTACGTATGAACGAATGCACAGCATACATGGTGGCCATGGGATTTTGAGTCCAGAAAACCTGAAAGCATTGATATTGGTTGCATGCTTGATGAAGCTGCCAAACTGAAAAAGTCTGCCACAGAATGAGATCACTGACTCGTGAAGATCATCAGGTATGGCAACTGTCACATACATAGAGGACTGTATTCAAGTCAACCCTGACTGATTTATGCCAACGACATGATGTCAACAAGACCGCCCATGAGAACGATGATTTCAGTGGAAACAGATGCAGTTATAGCGTTTCTACCTAGAGCTTTTGGATTAGTCAGCTGTGATACTCCAGCAGTTTACTTAGACGCGACACTAAGTTGACTGTGTAGCGGTCTGCTGCCTTGCTAAAACCAACAATCATAAAAGCTTCACATAACGGCATGTACATTTCTTGCTATGTGGAAGATAAGGAGAAACCAGTACAATGATAACTTTCCCAGAACAAGTCATGGCCAGTGACACAGCTGGATTCAGATGATGCCTAAGTGATTGTTTCTACTACAAGTATCTACAAAGTTGTCCACAAGTGTGGCTTCATTATTAGTGTCAATACATCAGGTTTTACATCAGCAAATGAGTCTGCCCATGTATAAGACACCCAGCTACATATGCATCTCTCCAGCTGCGTGTCCACGGAACAATGAAGAAGTCACTGGGTCAACATGTGATGGCAAGTCAGGCCTCAGAAGCTCATCTTTAACTGCCAGAAAGCTAATGTGAAAAGTCTGTGCATGGCACTAAAATCCAAGAGATATCCTAGCACTAACATCCAAGAGATATCCTAGCACTAACATCCAAGAGATATCCTAGCACTAACATCCAAGAGATATCCTTGCACTTATATCCAAGTGACATCCTGGCACTAGCATCCAAGAGATATCCTGGCACTAACATCCAAGTGATATCCTGGCACTAACATCCAAGCGATATCCTGGCACTAGCATCCAAGCGATATCCTGGCACTAGCATCCAAGAGATATCCTGGCAATAACATCCAAGTGATATCCTTGCCCTAACATCCAAGAGATATCCTGGCACTAACATCCAAGCGATATCCTGGCACTAGCATCCAAGCGAGATCCTGGCACTAACATCCAAGCAATATCCTTGCACTAGCATCCAAGAGATATCCTGGCACTAGCATCCAAGCGAGATCCTGGCACTAACATCCAAGCAATATCCTTGCACTAACATCCAAGAGATATCCTTGCACTAACATCTAAGAGATATCTAGGATGAGTCAAACTGGTCTTGGGAAGCATGGGCTCAGCTATCTGTATGTGTTGGTTTCTGACCCTCTTCACTGACAACTGGTTCTTCTGGTTTTGATTGACTGTTGTTGCTTATTTCTCTGTCTTCTTCTTTGTTGTCTTTAGCATTGTCGTCGTCATCATCATCGTTGAAAACAACATGGCTTGGTTTTTGGAAAAATGTGGCCTTATTTCTTTCAAAGACTTTTCTGGCAATCTGAAAGAAAAATTACCAGGTGAAAGCTGCATATCAGGAAAATACATAGTAAAATATTGTGTTCAATCCAAAAACAAAACAAAAATCCCAGAGGTGCAAAATAAGGAAAGTGAGGCATCTCCGCAACAAGTGTGTGGGATGTAGCAACCAGTTCCCTTCTAAGATGCCTATTGCTTCTCAAACTAGCAACTTCCCAATGTAGGTTCCAGGAGGATTGAATCAATGAACATACTTGATTTTCAAAGGCTTCAGAATCCTTCCATCGTAAAAGGAACAAAAGACACGCCCCCACCCCTACCCCATAAACAAGCATATTGTCAAAGCTGACTAATTAGGGGTTTTTCCTTTGAAGCCATAGTGCAGCTTCATGAAAGGCAAGGATACAACAGCCTGCTTACAAATAAGCTGATCTAGAAAATGGGGGGGGGGGGGGGGGGGGGGGTGATAGACCTAATGCCTCTGATTTAGTTAGTTATTTAGTTAGTTAGTTGGGTTATCATCATTGCACTCCGGACATGTCCATAGGTGCTCAGATCCTCCCCTCAGTATGAATCCCAACGTCCGATGGCTAATAGTACCAGTTCTATGTTGATTAACAAGTCTTCTGACGTGTCCGGTGTGCGTCTCGTTTTTTGCTGTGCCGATCTTAATTCCCAAGTCTGCCATTCTGGCGAGTGATGTGGATTCACTGCCACCAAAGTCCTCTATCCTTCCCATTTCTCTGAGGGCATTGATAATATCAGCATGATCCATAGGCCGACCGTCGGTAGTGATAGCGGATCCAGCCAACCTGTCAGCTCTTTCATTTCCATCGACGACTGCGTGTCCCGGAACAAAAATAAAGGTGACTCCTCGCACAGTGGACTTCTGAATTGATTCAAGCCATTGTCTTCGCACTGAACCTGCCTGAACCCTCCGGATCATACTCATTGAATCACTGAGTATACATATGCGGGTGTATTTTTGTGTTTCAAGCCAGGCAAACGCTTGCGTCACTGCCATCACCTCCATCGTCATGCTGCTGGTTGTCATGGAGAAGGCGCCGTTGGCTTCTTTGACTGTTCTGCCCGCTGAGCGTGCTGTAAATGCCCATGCGCTTCTTCTTTGGCGTATAACTGATCCGTCTGTATAGATTAGTGCATCTGCTTCGTCTGAATTTTCACCGATGAGAGCGTTGACCTCTGCATTAACAGCAACAGGATTATCTTCTCTACATCGCCTGTTGAGTGTGACAATACAGGAAAATGTACAAATAAACGCCTGAGGCACAGGTATCCATTCTGCACCAGGTATGATGTCGGTTAGGCTGCATATTTGCCTAATAACATCTTCTGCCCGACCTAGCCACGATTTTCCCCTCTTCAGTCTGTCGCCCTTTTCACTAAAAAGCGCTTGATGCAGTGGGTGTTTCTTATCAGCACATATTTTGAGGTATGCCCGAGCCCTCCACATCCTGATCCTTTGGTTCATTGTTGGAAAGTCAAGTAGATACCTCATTGCTCCACAGGATGTGTCTCTTGTACATCCCAAAATAATACGCATGGCTTCATTTTGCACCTTCTCGAGTCGTTCAATCTGGATAGCACTGACAGTGAGGATGGCCAGAGCGTATTCAATGGGGGAAAGGACCAGACCATAGAATAGAAGCACCAGCAGTCTTTGCTCGATATTGGAAGCAGCCATAATCCTCATTGCAGATAGACCTTTGCGTGCTTTTGTTATCGCATGGTCAACGTGTTCCCTGAATGACAAGCTGCGATCGAACCTCACCCCGAGAAACGTCATAACGTTGGTTCTGATCAATACATTATCACGCATTTTCACTTCTGGTAAGTCCGACTTGACAATGTGATTGTTCAAAGAGAACCATGACACTGATGCCTTCGAGGGATTGACATAGGCATTGGAACCATCACACCAGGCGGCAATTCGATCGAGTTCTTTGTGCATTGTGCTGGCGATCTCCTGTCTATCACGCCCTTGTCGATAAATCAAAATGTCATCAGCAAATGACAAAGTCCTTCCCTTTCCATTCAACTGCTGCTCAGTGATCATCACCGTATAAACATTGAATAAGACTGGTGATAGCGGTGATCCCTGTGGCAAGCCTGGGCATATCGTTTGCGGCTCTGAGGACCAGCTACCACATCTTAGTACAATCTTTCTCTGGAACAGGACCGCAGCAATCCAGCGGATCAGAATAGGATTGACTTCTAGTTTAAGCAGTAATTGCATTAAATAATCATATGGTACTTTATTGTAGGCATCTTCTAAGTCCAACACTGCCGCACATGTCTCTTCTTTAATCTGAAATCCCTCGTACACATCGTAGGCGAAAACAGCAGCATTGGACCATGTCTCTTTCTTCAATCTGTACCCTCCAAGTGTTGATGGGAACTTATCATGTAGTTCCAAGTAGGTGGTCAATCTTTGTGCGACAATTTTTTCCAAAAGTTTGCCAACAGTATTCTGCATCGAGATGATTCTGTAGCCGCAGATCTTTGAGTGGTCTTTATTAGGCTTTGGTAGTGGAAACAAATAACTATGGAGCCATTCCTCTTGTATCTGGCCACTCTGGATGCTGATATTGAATTCCTTTGCCACGCTTTTCAAATCAGCATTCGACATCATCAGCATGTCATTGTATCGGATGCCGTCAGGACCTGGAGCAGTGCTGCGCGATTTCTTGAGGCAAGTTCTTAAGGTGTCTGCAGTGATTGTGAAATCAGTGCCTAGCTCAGTGTTCTCGCACAGCATCGACAGTTTCATCTTAACCCCTATTCTTGCAGCTTCGTCTTTTTGGTCAGTTTGCTCCAAGTAGCGCGCAAGGAGGGTTTTTCCTTTATCAGCATCAGTTCTCTGCCATATCAGGTCTGTACCCTGAAAATCAGGGATACCCCTTGGTCGTGCGGCGCCGTGCATGCTCCGTTGAAGGCGCCAGAATGTCACAAGAGATCCCTCGGAGCAAACGCTCTTGCAGAATTCGTTCCATTTCGCTGTCTTGGCTTCTTTCGCAATTAACTTGAAAGCCACTGTCCGCTTGTTGACCTCATCTTTCAGACTGATCAGGCGTTTAGAAAGTGACGGATCAATTTTCCTTGCCTTTTGCCATGCCTTGACAGCGTTCCTTTTTTCTAGCCACGCTATGTTGACTACTTCATTCCACCATGGTGGCTGGGCCCATCTCTCCCGCCGTCTGCGATCTGCTCTTGTATTACGTCGTCTGATTTTGCTAATGGCATCTTGCCCTGTACGGTCATATATAAAAGCAGGCACATTGATTACATGACCTTTGTTGTTGCTCTTCTCCACCAGGACGACGCACGGAAAGTGATCACTGTCATGGTATCCCAGTGTGCTCCACCTGCATCCTGGTGCTATGGAGGGAGACACTAGGGCCAGGTCAATTACGCTGTCAGAATCCCCTTGTCGGGTTGCTATTCAGGTAACCTTTCCGTCGTTCAAGCATACTAGATCGGCAGACACTAGAGCATCCTCCAGGTCTTCCCCCTGTTTATTGGTGATTACATTGCCCCACTGGTTTCCTCTGGCGTTGAAATCTCCGCAGTAAAGGACTTTCTTTTCCTCAGTCTGGAGCAAACTCTGCCATTTCGCTGTATCCACCTTTCCATTGCAGGCGTACACATTGACAATCACAAACTGGGCCGGGCCCATCACTCTGACTGCGTGTACTTGTAGGTCGTCATTATCCCACTCAGACATGTCCACCTCAGACACCAGTATGTGGTCACGAACAAGAATGAGCTGTCCGAGGTGCCGTCTATTGTAGAAGGATTGGAAGCCCGCAATTTTAACCATCTCGTCACCGAGGTGTGTTTCCTGTAGGACAACAATGTCGTTGCTGTAGAGGAGCTTCTCGAAAATGGGTCGGCGTTGACTGAACGAGGCGCAGTTCCAGTAGAGAACGCGAACATACTTTAAGCTGAGTCTCTCACATTTCAGTCGCTTCCTGCAGGCGCCACCGTGCTTGCCTGTTCGCGTTCTCCTTGTCCGTCTACGGGTTGTTTTGAATTGGTAGATAGTCGCCATCGGACGTTGAATACACCCTGAGGGAAGTCTGAACTCACGTGCATGTACTCCATTGCACGGTTCAGACCCCATTCCGATGAAACTTTCACATTATACGTGAGCGAAAATAGTTAATTTGCGCCATTCGCCTCAACGGACGAAAAAGCGTGCCGCCATTGTGGCTGTTTACACCGGATATCCTAATGCCTCTGAACAAGCAGGTTATAGCAGGCTCGTTGTGGGGATTCTCATACAAGACTCCTGCCACACATCCTTGTCATATGCCATGGACAATGGCCTATTTCGGCCTAAACCGAGCCGGCACGGGATCCTGGAGCTATAGGGCCCCAGAGCTGCAGAGTCCAGAAATCTTCTGGTCAACCCATCTTTTGTGCATCTCTGATAGGGAACAGAAAGGAAGTCAACTGGCACTCAATGACAAAGTCAATTTCAAATGTCTGTCATCTAAACATTCTCCTGTTTGACAAACACTGGTTCAAACATTTCTCGATCGTGACTCCTACCACTTGGCTGCTTAGGTTCAAACGTCTGTGCAGTGAATGTTCTACTGTATGACCGAAAAGGTTCAGATGTTTCTCACTCAAAGATCTCTATAACACTAAAGGTTGAAATATCCGCTATCAATGGCCACCCCTGCGGAAGTGAAATAACCATTTACAGAAGCCATCCCTGATGCATGCTTTTCATAAATGCAGCAAAGAGCACCCTGGGCATCCAAATGAAATGCTAAAGTAAACAGTAAAGAACACTTTTTACACCTTCAGGCGTACATGGCTAGACCTATATTTTATATGGGTGGGTGATGTGGTCAGCATCCTGTCGGACACCTTTGCTTCCCACGAGACTACCTTATACCCATTCGAGGCTGGGTCGACCAGGCAGCCAAAGTCATTTTTGAAAAAAGTCTGGCTCGGTAAGGACACAAACCCATGACCTTCCGATCCCCAGGTGTGTCTGGCTGCTACATCAGGGTGGCTCTCTACATTAAATGTGTCACCGTCAGAAAGAGAAGTCCAATAGGATGAGAAAGTGGGGTTCCTATTTTGTGCAGGGAATCAGATCTGCAGACTGCTTCCGGAGGGTCCCTAAAGGGTGCAGCCCCTAAATCTGCAGATGCCAGGTTCAGCAGTCCCATGCAGGATGTGACGATTCCTTTAGTGAGCCCGTACCAGAGCATTATGAATCAGTGGTATATTGATGAAGGCCTCCTTGGATGGTGGGGAATGCCCATGCTCTGGCACTGCCTTTCTTTGATGATGGACCAATCTGCAGGCTGCTGCCCTAGTTCAGGTTCTCTCAGGGGAATGACCAAGTCACCAGACATATGGCCACAAATAACCTGTGAAAGTAAATGGGAGTGCTATCCGGAGAACAAATGCCTGAAGAAGTCGAAGTATCATCAAATATGGCAGCTCTACTGTATACAGGCACAATCCTGAAGAAGAAGAAGATGACAGACCTATAGATCTCAAATCATTACTCTGGTATCAAGGAGGACTGCCTCAGTTTTGTTTTCCTACCCGCCCATTATATTCTTTGAATGTTGTCCATCTTTCACATAAATTCATGTCATGTATTAACCGTCAATAACATCTATACAAGTTTGGCAATGTAAACAGAATCATATGAGGTTGTTGAGCATTGCATACCTTGTCAGCACCCTTCTCATGCTTCTTACGGCCTAACTTCTTGACTCTGTCTTCGTTAGCCTTCTTCCAGTATTCCTCCTGTTGGTCAGCTGGGGAACACAAGGGCATTATGTCACTACCACAAACTTTTACGTAAATACAGCATTTCATTACCACATAAACAATAATGTCACTACCACAAACTCTTACGTAAATACTAGGGCTGTATCAAATATTCGCTTCGGGGCCGAATAGTGGACCTAATAACTATTCGGTATTCGGCCCAATACTTGCGTTCGGGTCGAATACGAGTAATAGTTACCTTACACCCGTTTCTGCATACACTGCAATGGACTGAAATAACTCTCTCATTAACACAATAGTTTCTGTTGCCTAAGTCTATCGTAGCGGGGGAAACTGCGACCCGGTTGCGTGGTACGCCGCTGGAAAGGTCTTTGCCTGCTGACTCTACTAAGGCATTACAGCAGAGGTTCTCAAACAAAAAGTTGGCTATAAATTGTGACATTATTAAAGAAGGCATGAAGATACCAAAAAAGTTAAAATTTGAATTGTCTTTCCTCGCCACAGTCGAAAAGAGTGTTTTTTCCTTGTTTCGCACTCAAAGTGTATCATACTGCATAAAATGCCAACCGCAGCATGCTACAAATTGTCTTTGTATTTATCTCGAGGTGCGACCAATCCTCCATCTGTATTCGTTAAGGTGCAGCAGATTAGTAAGGTTGTGATTACATTTTGGCTGAAATTTTAAAGCGGAAAATGTGGTCTGTACAATAGTCACTGTTAGCCACGTCAAGTAAGCACTTATATTTAAAGGCAATGTGTTGTGAGTCCTGGACAATCGGTTGGCAGGCCAAACAATTTCTTGAGGCCTCAGGGATGTGGTTTTACAGAACAATGCTTAAAATACCTTAGACATCCCAAAAAATAGCAACCAAGAGGTTTTGAAAGAGGCGGGAGCCCGAAGACAACTAATCACAGACATCAGAAGGAGACAGTCATCAATTAATTTACGGCCATGTTATGAGAAGAGAGAAAATAGAACATGTGGTGACCACTGGAAGGAGGGAAAGAGGAAGACAACGAGAGAAGATTCTTGACAGTCTTGTTGCATGGCATGGAGGTCGAACTAATACATGCTGCAGGAGATCGCAGATTGTGGCGAGGCATAATCGCCCATGCCAGTCGGCAAGGCACCTGATGATGATGATACACTATTCCTATTCGTATTGGGCTGAATAGTTGGTCCCGCTATTCGTATTTGGCTGAATAGTGAAAAACACTATTAGGTACAGCCCTAATAAATACATCAAATCACTACCAAATAAACAAAAATGTCACTACCACATAAACACTTTATGTAATTACCACATAAACACTTCATGTCACTACCACAAACTCCCACATACACACTTTACGTCACTACTAAAAACTCCAACATACACACTTGACGTCACTACTAAAAACCCCAACATACACACTTCATGCCACCAACACAAACTCCCACATACACACTTAAGCCACTACCACAAACTTCCACATAAACACTTCACATCACTACCACAAACTCCCACATAAACACTTCACATTACTACCACAAACTCCCACATAAACACTTCACATCACTACCACAAGCTCACATATAAATACTTTATGTCACTACCACAAACTCCCACATAAACACTTCACATCACTACCACAAACTCCCACAAAAACACTTCATGACACTACCACAAACTCCCACATATACACTTCACGTCACTACCACAAACTTTCATACAAACATGCGAGGTAGACCAGCTACCAAGTGATAACGACATGTAAACTATATAATGTATAGATAAAATGAAGTCAACTATATGTTATTAATACAGTAGATTAAAAATGAAGTCAACTACATGTTATCCATACTGTACAGACAAAATGAAGTCAACTATATGTTATCCATACTGTACAGACAAAAAGAAGTCAACTATATGTTATCCATAGTGTAGAGACAAAATGAAGTCAACTACATGTTATCCATACTGTTGTAACAAAATGAAGTCAACTATATGTTATTCATACAGTACAGACAAAATGAAGTCAACTAAATGTTATCCATACTGTACAGACAAAATGAAGTGAACTACATGTTATCTATACTGTAGAGACAAAATGAAGTCAACTACATGTTATCCATACTGTAGAAACAAAATGAAGTCAACTAAATGTTATCCATACTGTAGAGACAAAATGAAGTCAATGAAATGTTATCCATACAGTAAAGACAAAATGAAGTCTGTATATGTTATCCATACTGTACAGACAAGAAGTGAACTATATGTTATCCATACTGTAGAGACAAAATGAAGTGAACTATATGTTATCCATACTGTACAGACAAAATGAAGTCAACTATATGTTATCCATACTGTACAGACAAAATGAAGTGAACTATATGTTATCCATACTGTACAGACAAAATGAAGTCAACTATATGTTATCCATACTGTAGAGGCAAAATGAAGTGAACTATATGTTATCCATACTGTACAGACAAAATGAAGTCAACTACATGTTATCCATACTGTAGAGACAAAATGAAGTGAACTATATGTTATCCATACTGTACAGCCAAAATGAAGTCAACTATATGTTATCCATACTGTACAGACAAAATGAAGTCAACATGTTATCCATAATGTACAGACAAAATGAAGTCAACTATATGTTATCCATATTGTAAGGATCATCCTCTTAGCAGGATAGACTAGACAGGCAAGCTTTCATGCAAAGACCTCATGGACACTCCACATTCAGCAGGGAACACGCTGATCTGGTTGCTGTAAGTTTATTTACGAGTCCTTAAAGCTGCCCAGTCTGCCTGTCCCAGTCTACTGTACATCTTCAACACAACAAAACCTAGTCAATTACAAAAACACTCAACAGAAACTGCACACATCTGATAGCAGAGGCTTGCAGAAGTTACCTGGTAAAATGCGAGCCATGAAGGACGTTGATCGCCTGGACAACTTGGCAAACTCCTCAGCACTAGCTTCATCTTTGAATCGAATGTAGCCAAATTTGGCTTCCTCCTTGGCATCGATGTAGGCAATGCTGTCACCACTCAACTCTTTGAACATGGTCTGTTAAAATATTTAGTTTTCATTTATCAATCACACTGTGTGTGCCTCACAGACAACCGCAGCTTCTTTCAAATAATATCTGTTCTAAACCAGCTTCCTACATATACCTCACAGACAACCGCAGCTGCTTTCAAATAATATCTGTTCTAAACCAGCTTCCTACATATGCCTCACAGACAACCACAGCTGCTTTCAAATACTAACTGTTCTAATCCAGCTTCCTACACATGCCTCACAGACAACTGCAGCTTCTTTCAAATAATATCTGTTCTAAACCAGCTTCCTACATATGTCCTGCCATCAATCTCTGTGGTTTTACTCTTCTACCTGATGTTTTCTTTATGTAGCCACCTAACCTCCTGACTACCACCATCGCACATTATGCAATCAGCCGATGGTTACGCCTGGCTACTTCGGTCACTGACTGTAACTCTGGACAATCACCGCCATCTAATTAATTATTAAAATTGTGATATTTGAAGCTGTTAGTCCATTCATTTCTCTATGTTCCTTTCAGTAAAACCACTTTGTAGTGATAACAGTTTTTACAGATTTGTTTGTTGATGTATATTTTGTCATGGCACTGAACTCTTGAACTGTCTTGGTGGCAAGTTTTGAGAATATTTCTGCTGCTATGGATGATTTCTTGATTTCTCTTCAGGAAGTGAAGATATTACTGAACAGTTTGATAAAGGACTTTGATAAATCTTAAAGATTGACATTAAAAAAATCATGTAACTGGAACGACAGTGTGTCACTTCAAAGGCAAGTCTAATTTCAGCCTATCGTCACAGCCGGCATGAGTTTACGTTTTCGGGATTACTTCTGATGCTTTAAGATATTTTTTAAAAATCAGATAGTGAGGGTGAAGATATTTCGATGACCGTGACTTTGATCCTTTTTATGAACTGGCAAAAAACCTTCTTACGAATTGGCAAAAAAAATATGAAGAAACTGAAAGTACTACGATTCATTAAGCAGCCATGGCAGTCGGAGGTGTGTGTTTTTTGTGTGTATAGATTCTTTCGGTCATATGCCTCAGGTGTGTATCATTAGATGCATCTGTGAAAGTAGACTGTGTCATTGACAGCTTTGTGGCTTGGCATTTATGAAAATCGTTTCCTAATGCAATCCTCAAGGTTTAACACGGTGGACAGTTTGGGAGAAGATCAATCTGGCGACTTTTTGAGTTTGACAGTTCAGTTACACCGCATCAGAAATTATTGGTTCAACATTTTTTTTCACAGTTAGGCAGAGCTCTCATACAGAATTATTTCAGAAAGAAAAAAAAAACATTTAATGACAACGGTGTCAGAAGATTTTTTGCCTGCCTTTTTTGCACAAATTTACAGCCAAATGATGATGGTATCAAAAATGATTTCACAATGTTTTTTAATTCGTGAACTCAGTTCTCCGTTTAGTTTGGTGCAATAATGCCAAATATGATGAGTTTATGCTAAATGGTTATGAAGCTATGAATTTTTTTTAAAGTCTAAATTGCTGCCAGAAAAATATATTTTTGGCTGCCTTTGTTTGCACCAATCTACAGTCACAGGATGATGATGTTAAATAAGATACAGCAATGTTTGTTCCTCTCTTTAAAAATCATGATTGTAATAAACTGATTGAAATGGAGATGAGAGCAGAAGTGAATCAGTAGCATGCTCTCACCCGGATCTTGTCACGGGGCATCTCATGGGAACACTTCCACTGCACAATGACATTTGGTGTGAACTTGAGAGATTCAACATGGGCCATCTTCAGATCTTGGCTAGGTTTCAGTCTCTTGGTGCCAAACACATCTTCCAGATCCACACGCTTGTTGCCTGTAGACAACAGAAACATAACAAACAGTTTCTTCCAGAACCACAAGCTTGTTGCCTGTAGACAACAGAAACATAACAAACACATCTTCCAGATCCACAAGTATGTCGTCTGTAGGCAACAGAAACATAACAAACAGTTTCTTCCAGATCCACACGCTTGTTGCCTGTAGGCAACAGAAACATAACAAACAGTTTCTTCCAGATCCACACGTATGTTGCCTGTAGACAACAGAAACATAACAAACAGTTTCTTCTAGATCCACACACTTGTTGCCTGTAGGCAACAGAAACATAAACAGTTTCTTCCAGATCCACACGCTTGTTGCCTGTAGGCAACAGAAACATAACAAACACATCTTCCAGATCCAAACACTTGTTGCCTGTAGACAACAGAAACATAACAAACAGTTTCTTCCAGATCCACATGCTTGTTGCCTGTAGGCAACAGAAACATAACAAACACATCTTCCAGATCCAAACACTTGTTGCCTGTAGACAACAGAAACATAACAAACAGTTTTTTCTAGATCCACACGCTTGTTGCCTGTAGAGAACAGAAACATAACAAACACATCTTCCAGATCCACAAGTAAGTCGTCTGTAGACAACAGAAACATAACAAACAGTTTCTTCTAGAACCACACGCTTGTTGCCTGTAGACAACAGAAACATAACAAAGTTTCAAAAGTGAAACACTATGACCACAGAGAAACACACTATAAACAGCATATTCATTCCAAGATTGAGTAAAGAGTGAAAAACATGGACATTATCTAAGGCCCATGTATGCAAAATCTCACTTGCCAGATGAGATGCTTGAAAAAAGCTGCCAACCTAAACATCCAAGATCGAGTCAATAATGATACTATCAGACAGACTGTGATGTGGGAATGACACCTTGTACCAGATTTATCGGACAACAGCAGATCAAGTGGTTTGGCCATCTCGTTAGAATGCAGCAAGATCAAATACCATTACAGGCACTACATGTCAGAAATGATCACACAAGTGCCACGACACACTGTAAATATAATAACAGATGGCATGGTAATGGGAAGGAGTGACAGGGGCAGACCACCATGAAGATGGGTTAAATGGATACAAGTGACAGCTCAGGTAGGAAAGCGCATGAGGTGGGAAAGCTGGCAAGAGACTGAGTTTCTTTCAGAAGGGCCGTGATGACAGCGACATTCTGCTTTATGATGACAATGATCATCTTTGAGAAACAACACACAGACACACAAACAGCCACACACACACAACCATACACACACACAGACATATACACATATACAGACACACACACACAGCCACACATACATATACACACAGACATATACACACACACAGACACACAAACAGCCACACATACATATACACACATACAGACACACAGCCATACTTACATATACAAACACACATACACATAGACATGCACCCACAGATACACACACAGCAACACATACATATACACATACAAACACACACACATAGACATGCACCCACAGACACACATACATTTACACATAAAAATATGCATACACACACTAAAAGACTCACACACATGGACACACACACCCACACAACCTCAGTCACTATACAGACTCACACACTCACAGACACACGCCCACACACAGAGACATACACACAAACTGATGAAATGACCCATACATGATGGAGATGATGAGAGAATGACAGTAAATCTGACCTGGTGGCTGGCCTTGATTTTCCTGCATCCTCAGTTCCCTCAATGATTCCTTCAGGGCTGCCATATGTGACTTCTGCTGAGCAATGTAGTCTGCTTTCAAAGTTAGCCACTCTTTCCTGAGGGGCACAAGAAAGACCTCAACAAAACAATGACACTTTACATAGCCCTTCAGCGTCTCTGTAATCTACTCAAGCCTGTTGCATACATTCAAATTTGCCCTATCAGTCTGAATTTGCCCTCACTCAGTCTGGAGTGTTTCGATACTGTCAAGTCTTGTTACTTGTCTGCTATGTCATGGGCCAAAATGACCGCCGCCCAGACAAAAGGTGAGGAGAAGCGTTCAAGCAACTCAAAGACACATCATTTCTAGTTTGTCTAGTATGTGTGATTCTGGTACACACATACCCACACCTGGATCCTGGCTCCATGACACACACACACACACCTGGCTCCAGGAAACACACACACAACAGACATCATCTGAAATATGCTGAAAAGGGTGGAATCAGGGTAGGCAATCCCCAACTATGTAAACTAAAATACCAGATGGCTGTTCTAAGACTTCCATGGTGAGATGTGGTGTAACAACAGACTATGTCATTTATTCATATGAAAGTATTTATCCTGTCCTTCATTTTATGCTGTCAACTCTGCAGGAGGTACCCAATGAGATAATACTGAATATGTCAGGAAGCAAACTGTACAACATACTTCTGTCTCCCCACAAGGTAACAGACTGTATAACATACTTCTGTGTCCCCACAAGGCAGCAAACTGTCCAACATACTTTTGTATCCCCACAAGGCAGGAAACTGTACAACATACTTGTGTGTTCCCACAAGGTAGCAAACTGTACAACATACTTTTGTGTCCCCACAAGGCAGCAAAGTGTACAACATACTTTTGTTTCCCCACAAGGTAGCAAAGTGTACTACACACTTTTGTTTCCCCACAAGGCAGCAAACTGTAAAACATACTTTGTGTCCCCATTACTGACATTTACAATGGCAAAATACTGTTTAAAAAGAAAAGATTTACTGAAAGAGAGAGAGAGAGAGAGAGAGAGAGAGAGAGATAGATAGAGAGAGAGAGAGAGAGAGAGAATAGAGAGGAGAGAAAGAAAGAGAGAGAGAGAGAGGAAGACAATGAAAGAGTATTATGTACAGCCTGTGATCACAGCAGTGAAAGGTGCCAGCAGCAAATGACGACATGTCGCTGGAGATCGATCACAAGGCATGGCAGTATCCGCCATGCCTGTCAGCAAGGCACTGAATGACCTACATATATTCTTATCTAGGGAAAAAACTGGCCCATGCCTGTCAGCAAGGCACTGAATGACCTACAAATATTCTTATCTAGGGAAAAAAACTGGCCCATGCCTGTCAGCAAGGCACTGAATGAACTACATATATTCTTATCTAAGGAAAAAACTGGCCCATGCCTGTCAGCAAGGCACTGAATGACCTACATATATTCTTATCTAGGGAAAAAACTGGCCCATGCCTGTCAGCAAGGCACTGAATGACCTACATATATTCTTATCTAGGGAAAAAAAACTGGCCCATGCCTGTCAGCAGGGCACTGAATGACCTACAAATATTCTTATCTAGGGAAAAAACTGGCCCATGCCTGTCAGCAAGGCACTGAATTACCTACATATATTCTTATCTAAGGAAAAAACTCGCCCATGCCTGTCAGCAAGGCACTGAATTACCTACATATATTCTTATGTAGGGGAAAAAAACTGGCCCATGCCTGTCAGCAAGGCACTGAATGACCTACATATATTCTTATCTACGGAAAAAACTGGAAGATAAATATTAAAAATAATTTTAGAAAGAAATTGTATTTATAAGGGAGCCAGCGTGGTGTAGCCGCTAGACTCTTATAAGAGGATCTGAAGGTCATGGGTTCGAATCCAAACGGGACTGGAACTTTGTAAGAAATGACCTTGACCTTTAGGCTGACCCAGCCTGACATGAGTACAAGGTAAAGTCCTGGGAATTAAAGGCGGCTGGCGTGATGTTCACGACAACACCCACCAAGTGCCGATTGGTCTACGAAATACAGCTCTAGCCTCTAATACCCAATATGCCTGAAGGGGTGGGAAAGGTCCTTGTATTTACAACATAGCAAAACGAACACTTACTTAGCCATAACTCGCAGATGAAGCTTCTCCTTCTTCTGTTTCTTTCGTTTGCGGACCTCTCGTGCTCTGATAAACTCTGTGGTTACTGTGACTGGATCAAACTCTACTTTCTTCCTTTCCTGTCCTTTTTTGGACTTCAGGATTGATGTCAGTTCAGTGCCATCGTTTCTACGTCTGCGATTGCCTTTGTTATTATCCAAGACACTGGAGGTCAGCATCCCATCCTGTTCTCTAGCTGCTGCTTTCACATCTCTACCTGATGTTTCCACATCCATAGCTGCTGCTTCCACCTCACCAGTTGCTGCTTCCACCTCGCCAGTTGCTGCTTCCACCTCACCAGTTCCTGCTTCCACCTCACCAGTTCCTGCTTCCACCTCACCAGTTCCTGCTTCCACCTCACCAGTTCCTGCTTCCACCTCACCAGTTCCTGCTTCCACCTCACCAGCTGGAAGATCTCCTGATGAACAGGCTGCATTGAGATCATGTACTTCTGAATGTGTGGCAACAGCTGTAGTATGGTCTGTATCAGACTTTTCCCTCTCCAGCTTCTTCCTGCGGATATCTTCTTGTCTCAAGCGCTTCCTTTCCTTCCTACTAAGTTTGGCATCTGTGTAGTCAGAATGGTTGACACTGACGTCCTTGTCACACTTCTCTAACGTGTCCATTGCCTTTGCATGTAAACTATTATCTTCTGCCATATCTTTGTTTTTATCTTTCAGTTTTTTATCTCCTTTCCTTTTCTTCTTCTTTTTCTTCTTTGAGCCAGCTTCCTCTGCTCCCTTAACATCTGCAGACTTATCCACCTCATAACTATCATCTCCCTCCCTAGACTCCATCAAAGATTCATTCACTGCTGCAGTCTGTACATCTCTAGTGCTACCACCAGCCGTGGACTCCCCTTCCCTACCAGACACATCTGTATCTGCAGTGGCTCCCTGGGTAGGATCCTGTGTCAACTTACTGTCTGTGCTGACCACCCCATCTACTAGCTGACTGTGCTTCTTCTTCTTTTTCTTCTTCTTCTTCTTTCCCTCTCTGTGTTCATTCTTTTTGTCTTCTTCCGTTGGTTCTAGATCAGTTCTAGTTACTTTCAAGTTACTTTCATTTAATGTCAGATCAGTGGGCTTCTTTTTTTTTGTGGTGTTTTTCTTCTTTTTATTTGATGTAGCTGCTTTACTGTGAATTGCATCAGTTCTCTGATCGTCAGAAATATTCTCTTCGTTACTGTCTTGTTCTGAAAGAGTGGAGAAATAGAGCAATCAACAGCGCAGTCAGTGAAGCCTAAAAATGACATCAATCTACACAGCAAAAAGAGTCTTTAACTGTCTGGTATCTTCAGCCACAGTGGCAGACATTTCAGATGAACTGAGGTGGAGACAGCTGTTATGAGATGTCAGTAAACAAAAGTGTCTGGATGTCACACAAGCACATACAGTTGGGGAGCAGGATGTTAACCTGCATGTCACACAAGCACATACAGTTGGGGAGCAGGATGTTAACCTGCATGTCACACAAGCACATACTGTTAGGGAGCAGAATGTTAACCTGCACGTCACACATGCACATACAGTTGGGGAGCAGGATGTTAACCTGCACGTCACACAAGCACATACAGTTGGGGAGCAGGATGTTAACCTGCACGTCACACAAGCACATACAGTTGGAGAGGAGGATGTTAACCTGCATGTCACACAAGCACATACAGTTGGGGAGCAGGATGTTAACCTGCACGTCACACAAGCACATACAGTTGGGGAGAAGGATGTTAACCTGCATGTCACACATGCACATACAGCTGGGGAGCAGGATGTTAACCTGCACGTCACACAAGAACACACAGTTGGGGAGCAGGATGTTAACCTGCATGCAACTCTCTGTGGATAGCTGGCAAATGATAACACTCACTGTTACAACTGAAATATACATGCAACACAGACCCAGTTATGTAGGGCATAGACTGTGCCTGGGACTGAAATGATTCAGACCATATTATGTGCAGATGTAATGAATCATGTTGGACCTGGTAAACAGGGACTACTGCAGCAAGTGGAGAAGAAACGGACCCACAGAGAGCAAATCCAGTCCGTACAACCTGCTGTACACTGATTACATCAAGCCACAGTCACACATGAACAAAGGAGCTTCTGGGGATTGGATCGCTACAGACTAGCATGAATGACACTTTCATTCTGGCAGAGACAGCCAATGCACATGTCCGCCTATACATGATACAACTAGACATTCTGGCAGAGACAGCCAATGCACATGTCTGTCTATACATGATACAACTAGACATTAAGTAGAGACAGCCAATGCACATGTCCGTCTATACATGATACTAGACATTCAGGTAGAGACAGCCAATGCACATGTCTGTCTATACATGATACAACTAGACAAGTAGAGACAGCGAATGCACATGTCCGTCTATACATGATACAACTAGACATTCAGGTAGAGACAGCCAATGCACATGTCCGTCTATACATGATACAACAAGACATTAAGTAGAGACAGCCAATGCACATGTCCGTCTATACATGATACAACTAGACATTCTGGCAGAGACAGCCAATGCACATGTCTGTCTATACATGTTACAACTAGACATTAAGGAGAGACAGCCAATGCACATGTCCGTCTAAACATTATACAACTAGACATTCAGGTAGAGACAGCCAATGCACATGTCCGTCTATACATGATACAACTAGACATTCTGGCAGAGACAGCCAATGCACATGTCCATCTATACATGATACAACTAGACATTAAGTAGAGACAGCCAATGCACATGTCCGTCTATACATGATACAACTAGACATTCAGGTAAAGACAGCCAATTAAATTCTGGTAGAGACAGCCAATTACATTCTGGTAGAGATAATCAATTACATTCAGGTAGAGACAGCCAATTACATTTAGGTAGAGACAGCCAATTACATTCAGGTAGAGACAGCCAATTACATTCAGGTAGAGATAATTACATTCAGGTAGAGACAGCCAATTACATTTAGGTAGAGACAGCCAATTGCATTCAGGTAGAGACAGCCAATTGCATTCAGGTAGAGACAGCCAATTACATTCAGGTAGAGACAGCCAATTACATTCAGGTAGAGACAGCCAATTACATTCAGGTAGAGACAGCCAATTACATTCAGGTAGAGACAGCCAATTGCATTCAGGTAGAGACAGCCAATTACATTCAGGTAGAGACAGCCAATTACATTCAGGTAGAGACAGCCAATGCAAATGTCCGTCTATACATGATACATCTAGACATTCAGGTAGAGACAGTCAATGCACATGTCCGTCTATACATGATACAACTAGACATTCAGGTAGAGACAGCCAATGCACATGTCCGTCTATACATGATACAACTAGACATTCAGGTAGAGACAGTCAATGCACATGTCCGTCTATACATGATACAACTAGACATTCAGGTAGAGACAGCCAATGCACATGTCCGTCTATACATGATACAACTAGACATTCAGGTAGAGACAGCCAATGCACATGTCCGTCTATACATGATACAACTAGACATTCAGGTAGAGACAGCCAATGCACATGTCCGTCTATACATGATACAACTAGACATTCAGGTAGAGACAGCCAATGCACATGTCCGTCTATACATGATACAACTAGACATTCAGGTAGAGACAGTCAATGCACATGTCCATCTATACATGATACAACTAGACATTCAGGTAGAGACAGCCAATGCACATGTCCGTCTATACATGATAAATCTAGAGATTTGGAAATGAACAAACCCATCTTGACTGGAGCCAACTTCTGCAGTCTGTTTAAGGTTTTATTTCCCTTGGGGAACTTGCCAGGCTTGTCATCTGGTTTCACAGGCAGGGGATTGTTCAGTAGCTGGAAAACAACATAGGAAAGAATTGCTCAGCTGTTGAGAAACAATATAGGAAAGTATTGTTTAGTAGTTGAGAAACTATATGGGAAAGGTTTGTTTAGTAGTTAACTATATGGGAAAGGATTGTTCAGCTGTTGAGAAACAATATGGGAAAGTATTGTTTAGTTGTTGAGAAACAATATGGGAAAGGATTGTTCAGTTGTTGAGAAATGAAAAGGGAGAGGAATGTTCACTTGTTGAGAAACAATATGGGAAAGGATTGTTCAACCGTTGAGAAACAATAAGGGAAAGAATCATTCACTTGTTGAGAAACAATAAGAATTGTTGACTTGTTAAGGAGCAATATGGAAGTGTTATGTTTACTTGCTGAGAAACAGTATGGGAAAGGATTGTTAGCTGTTGAGAAACAATATGGGAAAGGATTGTTTAGTTGTTGAGAAACAATATGGGAAAGTATTGTTTAGTTGTTGAGAAACAATATGGGAAAGTATTGTTTAGTTGTTGAGAAACAATATGGGAAAGGATTGTTTAGCTGTTGAGAAACAATATGGGAAAGGATTGTTAGCTGTTGAGAAACAATATGGGAAAGGATTGTTAGCTGTTGAGAAACAATATGGGAAAGGACTGTTAGCTGTTGAGAAACAATATGGGAAAGGACTGTTCAGTTGTTGAGAAACAATATGGGAAAGGATTGTTAGCTGTTGAGAAACAATATGGGAAAGGATTGTTTAGCTGTTGAGAAACAATATGGGAAAGGACTGTTCAGTTGTTGAGAAACAATAAGGGAAAGGATTAATCCCTTGAGAAATAATAAAGATTGTTTAGCTGTTGAGAAACAAAAAGTGAAAAAATCACTAACTTTTTAGGAAACAATAAGGGTTGTTCAGCTTTTAAGAAACAATAAGAGAAAGCATTGTTCACTTGTTCAGAATCAATATGGGAAAAGACCATTCAGTTGTCGAGAAACAATATGGAAAATTTTGTTCAGCTGTGGAAAAACAATATGGGAAAGTATTGTTCAGTTGTTGAAAAACAAAATGCGAAAGGATTGTTCAGCTATTAAGGAACAATATGAGAAATAATTGTTCAGCTGTTGAGAAAAAAATATGGGAAAGGATTGTTTAGCTGTTGAGAAACAATACCGGAAAGGCTTGTTCACTTGTTGATAAATGATAAGGATTGTTCACTTTCTGAGAAACTATTCGGGAAAGGATTGTTCAGTTTTTGAGAAACAATATGGGAAAGAATTGTTCAGTTGTTGAATCAGCTGCTGGGTAAACAAGATGGACAAATAATAATGTTCTGCACAAAGTGGAACAAAATATGGACATAACCAGGTGACTTGAACAAGTCGGTGATGTGAGCCAGCTAATGAAGTGAAACAAAACGAAAACTTGAACAAGTTGGTGGTGTGAGCGAGCTAATGAAGTGAAACAATGAAAATGAAAACTTGAATAAGTTGGTGGTGTGGGCAGGTGACTAGAACAAGTTGGTGGTGTGGGCAGGTGACTAGAACAAGTCGGTGGTGTGGGCAGGTGACTTGAACAAGTCGGTGGTGTGGGCAGGTGACTTGAACAAGTCGGTGGTGTGGGCAGGTGACTTGAACAAGTCGGTGGTGTGGGCAGGTGACTTGAACAAGTCGGTGGTGTGGGCAGGTGACTTGAACAAGTCGGTGGTGTGGGCAGGTGACATGAACAAGTCGGTGGTGTGACCAGGTGACTTGAACAAGTCGGTGGTGTGGGCGAGCTAATGAAGTGAAACAATGAAAACAAAAGAAGCATCTATAAAAAGTGTACCTGGCAAGCTTTTGCAGCCTCCTCTGGTGTCTCAAACTCCACAAAAGCAAACCCCTTGATCATCCTAGTAGTCCTGTAGACTGGCAGACTGATGTAGACCACCTTGCCACACTGGGAGAAGATGCTCCGGATCCACATGTGGGTGGCATGAGCAGGGAGATGTTCCTGAAACAGTTGACAGAATGGTTGACCTACATGTGTGTTCTACAGCGTGACCAGTGTCCAGGTCAGCATATAGGTGATACGTGACAACACTAACAATCTGAGCATAGATGGGCACAACACAAAAAAAATAAGGAGACAAGACAAGGGAACAACAAACAAAATAAGAGCATGTGGCTATTCAAGTTGTGACCCTAACCAACTTTTGTCTACAGCTCCATTTATTAACTTCCAAAACAGAATCTCAGATTGCTTCAAAAACTGGGATAGCTAAAAAGTAAATCACAACTCTTTGCAGTGTTATCTACCCTTCTAGATTACTACAGCACGGCCTTCTACATATTCACATACAATCATCAGAGAGAAAGAGATGGCGCAAACAACCACATACATGTGTTGACAGTTCCAACACACACAACACACATTGTGTCACTGCCAATACACATGCACACGTGCAAGCCAAAAATGCATATAGACGTACCACATATACGGTCTTGCTGTCTGTTTCCTCTTGGTCGATTTCTTTAATGGGAGTTATTCTTCGTACCTGGCATCCATTACTACTTAGCTGAAACATATTAACAATATAAATAAGTCAAAACAGTCACACATTTTAATATAGAAAACATTTCCAACTCATTCAGTGCCTGAAAACTCTTCATGAGTTGTTTTGATGACTGTCAGAGGCCTGTGTGTCTATGATTGTATTGTGGGTAATAATAGTGAATTGATAAACTAGTAATGAATGATTGCATAAGTGAATGCACAGGGAATACACAATCTTTGCCACAGAACTGTTAGTATAGAAGACAGACAGACTCACAAACAAACAAACGAGACAATGCTGAAACATGGACAGCTACAATGTGTGCTATTCTGAGAGAAGGCCAGACAGACTAACAAGCAAACAGAAAACACCAAGGGTCTTGCAGGTTTTGTTTCCTACCAGACAGACTCACAAACAAACAGAAAACACCAAGGGTCTTGCAGGTCTGGTTTCCTACCAGACAGACTCACAAACAAACAGAAAACACTAAGGGTCTTGCAGGTCTTGTTTACTACCAGACAGACTCATAAACAAACAGAAAACACTAAGGGTCTTGCAGGTCTTGTTTACTACCAGACAGACTCACACAAAAACAGAAAACACTAAGGGTCTTGCAGGTCTGGTTTCCTACCAGACAGACTCACAAACAAACAGAAAACACCAAGGGTCTTGCAGGTCTGGTTTTCTACCAGACAGACTCACAAACAAACAGAAAACACTAAGGGTCTTGCAGGTCTGGTTTCCTACCAGACAGACTCAAACAGAAAACACAAAGGGTCTTGCAGGTCTTGTTTCCTACCAGACAGACTCAAACAGAAAACACCAATGGTCTTGCAGGTCTTGTTTCCTACCAGACAGACTCACAAACAAACAGAAAATACCAAGGGTCTTGCAGGTCTTGTTTCCTACCAGACAGACTCAAACAGAAAACACCAAGGGTCTTGCAGGTCTGGTTCCCTACCAGACAGACTCCCACCAAGGGTCTTGCAGGTCTTGTTTTCTACCAGTCAGACTCACAAACAGAAAACACCAAAGGTCTTGCAAGTTTGTTTCCTACCAGACAGACTCACAAACAAACAGAAAATACCAAGGGTCTTGTAGGTCTTGTTTCCTACCAGACAGACTCAAACAGAAAACACCAAGGGTCTTGCAGGTCTTGTTTCCTACCAGACAGACTAACAAGCAAACAGAAAACACCAAGGGTCTTGCAGATCTTGTTTCCTACCAGACAGACTCACAAACAAACAGAAAACACCAAGGACCTTGCAGGTCTTGTTTCCTGCCAGACAGACTCACAAACAAACAGAAAATAACAAGGGTCTTGCAGGTCTTGTTTCCTACCAGACAGACTCACAAAAAAACAGAAAACACTAAGGGTCTTGCAGGTCTTGTTTCCTACCAGACAGACTCATAAACAAACAGAAAACACTAAGGGTCTTGCAGGTCTTGTTTACTACCAGACAGACTCACACAAAAACAGAAAACACTAAGGGTCTTGCAGGTCTGGTTTCCTACCAGACAGACTCACAAACAAACAGAAAACCCAAGGGTCTTGCAGGTCTGGTTTCCTACCAGACAGACTCACAAAAAAACAGAAAACACTAAGGGTCTTGCAGGTCTTGTTTCCTACCAGACAGACTCACACAAAAAAAACAGAAAACACTAAGGGTCTTGCAGGTCTTGTTTCCTACCAGACAGACTCACAAAAAAACAGAAAACACTAAGGGTCTTGCAGGTCTGGTTTCCTAACAGACAGACTCACAAACAAACAGAAAACACAAGGGTCTTGCAGGTCTGGTTTCCTACCAGACATACTCACAAACAAGCAGAAAACACTAAGGGTCTTGCAGGTCTGGTTTCCTACCAGACAGACTCACAAACAAACAGAAAACACTAAGGGTCTTGTAGGTCTGGTTTCCTACCAGACAGACTCACAAACAAACAGAAAACACCAAGGGTCTTGCAGGTCTTGTTTCCTACCAGACAGACTCACAAACAAACAGAAAACCCAAGGGTCTTGCAGGTGTGGTTTCCTACCTCTAACAGCTTTGACTTGCTGATGGCTGTTGCCAGAACCTTCAGACTGACTCCATCTTTGTGCAACGACTGAAGTTTGTTGAAGTTTCCAAATACAGCAAGGTCAACATCTAAACACATAGAAACATGTGTAATACCCATCAAGAGTTAACCTCTCTCAAGATGAACTAAAGAAGTCACTGATAACCTCAGACTAAACCGGGCATGCTCAGCTACAGAACATCTGTAACACTGTGACACCAAGTAGCACAAGAGCAGATACTGACACATGAAGAAGAAGATGATTCTCTCACTGAAGTTGTTGCCATCTTCCACATGCTGGCAACAACTTCAATGTCACCAGACCTTGCTATCTTCCACATGCTGGCAACAACTTCAATGTCACCAGACCTTGCTATCTTCCACATGCTGGCAACAACTTCAATGTCACCAGACCTTGCTATCTTCCACATGCTGGCAACAACTTCAATGTCACCAGACCTTGCCATCGACTACATGCTGTTAACAACTTCAGTGTCACCAGTCTGCCATGGATGCAAAGGACAATGGAATCAACTGTCCCTGCCACTCTTCTTTCCCATGATAAAAAGCAGGACCTTGCAATTTTGCATAAACAGCTTTAAAAATAACAAGTACCCACTTTTTTTTTAACTGACAGAACTGTCACTCTTCTTAACCAGGGTAGAGAGCAAAATCTTGTGACCATGCCTGTATTAAAAAAATTAAAAAAAAAAACACTAATCTGACTGACTAGTCAAGTGCTACAACCAGTCTTCCCTCCAAAAGCTTGTCCAATATAAGAATTCTTGTCAAATTGTCCCTGCTAGAGACACAAACCATATATTGCCTTTTAAAATAATGAAGATTTACACACACACACAAATATACAGCCCCATTAACCGGCTGGCATATGTTGCTGAATCTCATCAGTCACATACTACAGAATGTTAACATACCCGAGAAGGCTAACTAGGTCAACAAAAGCCAGCATAAGTCACACGTATCAACCAAAAGGTGTAGCCCTGCTGTAAAAGAACAATAAATAAGTCTAAAATGTTGTTAAATATTGGGGTAATGAAGAATTAATCAAAATACAAGGATAGACAACAACAAACTCTTGTGTGCATTTCAGGTACAAGAATATGTTGCTGTCCTCTTTTGTATGTTGATTTAATTCCTTAGTATGTGCCTTATGATATACAGCAGCAAAGAATGGCAGGCAATGAAACAACAATGACTGAGACAGGCAGGAGAAGAAGCACTCACAACCATCAGGTGAGCTGTCTATCACTTGTCTCAAGTACCGGTCCTTGCTGAGATTAGAATCTCCAAAGTAAAACTCCATCTGAAAACAGAAAATAAACAATAACCAATCTGCCTGTTTGTTTACCTATCAAAAACATCCAAACACGGACTGATACAATCCTCGCTTATGGCTATATCAAACAATCAACACATTCACAATGATATAATAATCACATGTGGCTACATCAAAGATTGACAGATATAATCATCACATGTGGCTACATTAAACATTAAGATTCCCAAACATAGGTGCAATCTGCACATGTGGCTACATAAAAAATGAACAGATTCACAAACACGGAAAGATACAATTTTCAAATGCGACTACATCAAACCTCAATATTCAAACAAACAGAGACAGATACAATCCGCACAAGTGGCCACATCAAACAACAGATGTACAAACATGGACGGAAGTAATCCTCATATGTGGCTACATCAAACCTCAACACTCAAACAAACAGGTATAGATACAATCCTCAAACATGGTTACATTAAACATCAACACTCACGCAAACAGGGACAGTTACAATCCTCTCATGTCGCTACATCAAACAACAGACTTACAAACAAGGACAAATATAATCCACATATGTGGCTACATCAAACCTTAACACTCAAACAAATAGGGGCAGTTACAATCCTCATACATGGCTACATTAAAAAACAACACTCACATAAACATGGACAGATACAGTCCTAACATCTGGCTAATCAAACTTCAACACTCAAACAAACATGGACAGATAACAATCTTCCTACGTGGCTACTTCAAACTTATACAAATGTGGACAGATACGATCATCACATATAGCTACATCAACACACACAAACATGGACAGATACAATCCTAATACACAGCTATATCAAGCATCAACGCTCACACAACCATGGACAGATGCAAGCATCACAGACAGTCACATCAACATTGACAAAAACATGGACAGATACAATACTCACATGTGGCTACATCAAATATCAGTACTCACACAAACATGGACAGATACAATCATCATTTGTGGCTACATCAAACCTCACACAAATATGAACAGATACAACCCTCACATGTGGCTACATAAAACCTCACATAAACATTGAAAGAAACAATCCTCACATGTGGCTACATCAAACCTCACATAAACATGGACAAATACAATCCTCACATGTCTTCTTCTTTTTCACTTCCTCTTTTACCGCTGTTGGTGTCGAGGGAGATATAAGGTTCTGTTTCTGGCTCTTCTGGCTGCCTCGACCATAGGCACATCGTGCTGTTGTAGCTACATCAAACTTCACACAAACATGGACAGATACAATCCTCACATGTGGCTACATCAAACCTCACACAAACATGCAAAGATACAATCCTCACATGTGGCTACATCAAACCTCACATAACAATAAAAGATACAATCTTCACATGTGGCTACATCAAACTTCACATAAACATGGACAAATACAATCCTCAAATGTGGCTACATCAAACTTCACATAAACATGGACAAATACAATCCTCACATGTGGCTACATCAAACCTCACACAAACATTGAAAGATACAATCCTCACATGTGGCTACATCAAACCTCACACAAACATGGACAGATACAATCCTCACATGTGGCTACATCAAACCTCACACAAACATTAAAAGATACAATCCTCACATGTGGTTACATCAAACCTCACATAAACATGGACAGATACAATCCTCACAAGTGGCTACATCAAACCTCACATAAACATGGACAGATACAATCCTCACATGTGGCTACATTAAACCTCACACAACCATGAACAGATACAATCATATGGCTACATCAAACCTCACACAAATATAAACAATCCTCACATGTGGCTACATCAAACCTCACACAAACATATACAATCCTCACATACAGTTTTGCTGAACTCACCTGATCTATGACTGCCTGTATTAGATGTTTTGTTCGTCTGCGAGGGTTCTTCTTCTTTCCTTCTGCTGGTCTCAGTCTATCAGCTTCTGTTTTTAACCTTTTACATGGACTTTCAAGTGATTTATCTAAATCACTACTGGATCGCTTCAATGTAGTGACAGAGTGAGACAAACTGGATTTAGAACTGTCTGTCTGTCTTGTGGATCTGTCTGTTTCTGATGTTTCATCTTGTGTCTTCGTGTGAGGATCTTTCCTGGCCATCTTTGTGGCAATGTCATCTTCCACGCTTGGTGAGGTTTTCCTCTTATGTTTTTTAGAACTCAGCTTCAAAGGTTCAGCCTGTTCTTGTTCAAGCACCACCTCCTCCTCACCTGTAATGGCCTGGTTTTCCATGTGTAATTTTTCCTCTTCAGCCATGTTCAGCTGTTTTCAAACCCCACTGTGAAGACGTCTACAACTGCAGGAAGTGAAAGAGAAGCAGTGAAAGGTATTACAATCATTTACCTTTGATGTTTATAACACAACAATAGAACTTTGTTCAGTACAAATTCTTCATTGTTGGACAGTATCTGCGTTATACTTGTTTACAGCAGAAACTGTCCCTGTTAGTTACTTCAAGCTCTTCAAAATGTGTTCATTCACAGATTAACTACTTAACTGGGTTTCAAAGTCATGAGGTATTGTCTGACTGTGAACTCTGTCCCTTCCTGTTACTTGGACCACGTTTCTTAGATATCTTATTTCTGAGGCCTGAAGCTGGCTTCTGTGAGTTGTCACCGCCCATTATTTACACCCATATTAGACTATATTTAACATATTCAGTACTACAACTATCTTCTTTGACATCTGGTTCACAAGTGACCTCAAGCTCACATCTCTTCTTCATCAATGGTTTCCTCAGTTTTGGGCACTGTGCCGCATGCATGCTGCATGGGCTTTCTGTCTAGCTTGTTATGACCATGAGCTAGGATGCAAAACATGGTCAACAGCCTTTCCTTCTCAAGACTTTACCTGGTACTCTTTTTAGGCTAGGTTGACCTGAAAAAAATGTTGCTTGAGTATCTGAACCTACAACCTTCAGGCCCGAAGCTATGCCGGTGAGACTTTCCCGTCTTTCTACGACAAATGTTTTATTACATACAATACCTTTAATGCACAAAAACCAGATTTTTCTTGGTATATTTGCTCTTAATCTGTATCTGACATTATGACCGCCTCCCAAATTCTTATTTCATTGATTTTGTACAGCATTTTTCCATCTACTGTAATATCACTTTTCAGTCTTCTCTTTTCTTTCATACAATTCTTTTACCTTCATAGGCAGAAGATGCCTTTATTGTGTGTGTGCACTTGCCATTATTATAATGTTGAACAGTGTCACAGAACTTTCATATTTTCATCTGCCATTAACGCAGATTGCATCTTCTATAACCTCCAACTGTACTCGCACATCATCCTTGACGCTCTGATTATTATTTTACTACAAAGAAAGACATCTGGTAACAAAACACATCCTTGTCTTATTGTTTGCTTTATCTGTTCATCACTGACTGTATTTTTACACTTTATTTACTGCTAACATGGAACTAGTGGCAAGAACAAAACAAACTCCTGCAAATCAAGTGGCGAGAAAATCACGATAAGGCTGAATAGCACATTTGTAGATAAAAGATGTTACTATTACAACTGGGTGGCACATTTTCAGATAAAAGTTGTTACGAATACAACTGGGTTGTCATTTCTCAAGGAAACAGAAACAGCTTAGAGTGAGACTTAACAAAGAAAGATAACTGATAACAGGTGAATATGGGTTGATTTTGATTTGATTTGATTCAAGAACCGACATCACATTCCCATAAGCGCTCCGTCCCCATCTTCAGCAGCCAGCGAAGAGTTCCGATACTAATGGTGCCAGTAGCTTTCTGATTAGGTGAATATGGGAAGAACACTTACTGAGATGGAAGAGATAGCCAAGGATAGGTGTGTATGGCATAAATGGTTGGGGCCTATGTGGAGAGGGGGTGAAGAAGGGGACGGAAAGCCAGAAGTAATTAAAGTATTTATTTCCCTGTGTGGGTTCTAGGGTCCCACTGTGGGGGGGACATGAGCACAAACCAACTGCCTCCCCAGCAAACATGTCATATGGGTAGACTGTGCTTCCTTCAAAATCAGGCTACATCTGCCTGAGGGGCAAGGAACCAACGGCCTACATTCAAATAAGCCAGATCTGTGCACGCAACATTCAGGTTCTGGGTCAAGATCAAAGCCCAGAGGTGGACGAACAATCATAACTTTCAGTCCCGAGTTTACAGTTGGCGACAGCAAAGTCTTCATATTTTTTTAAATATCCAGAAACCATGAGTTGTTAACCCTTTGGCTCGGTACTATGGATATCGCAACCTTTCGGCCTTGATTCCATGATAGATACCGTAAATCTGAGAAATATGGCTTTTTAGTGAAGTCTACATAAACGGGATATATTTCAGTTATTTCTTCCCCGTAACTTTCACAACTTTTAGCCAGAGAAAATTCAGAAAATATATAATTCTAAATAGCAAGGTATGCGAAATCTATTTATTTTCAGAAATCGAATGCTGACGCACTGAATAAAATCAAAATTATCTTCTTATCAAACAAATAAGTATAAGTAAATAATTTATATTTTATTTTGAATTTATTTTTTAAGTGTGCCTCCTCCTATCATTTAGCAAATGATTTGCTGCAATACTTGCATTAAGTATGATTTTAACATTTATAAGGTATTTTTTAAGAAGAAAAAGAACACATACATAACGCCAACAATCGTGCCCGTGAGTAATGAAGTACGTGCGCCGCAGAAAGCAGACAACAGAAAACGTCGCGCCGTTGACAGACCTGCAGGCCGGGCCGTGTCTGCTCCTCCACCACTTTTGCTTTGACTGTAGTACTGAAAACTTCTTCTATTTGCGAATCAACTAGCAACAAAACAAATACAGAGACCAGTGGAAGCAAAATATAATTATTAATACAATATTTTTATGACAAATAAATTACCTACATTTCTAACTATCGGTATTCTGAAAATTTATAAATATCTAAGAAAAATTTAAAACGTTTTTTCCTTTTATTTCACATTATAAACGAGTAAAATTATATTATTTTTTTTGGCAAATAAAATTCCCTACTTTTTAAATTTGGGAAAAACCTTTTGTTACAACTTGTTTGATTAGCTAATATATTTAGAGACAACCAATAGTTATCACTGTTGTTTACAGAAAACCTGTTCTGTTATGATATTTATCAAATGGTCGGTGGCTAGGATTCTTGGTTCTAAGAAAATGCTAGAACTCCCTTGAGGTGTGAGATTCTTGTGTCCAGGGCAATGGAAGGACAGCCAACACCCAGCTACAAACCAGCTCCTGGAACACAGGCGGCTGCATTCGACATGTTGATGAATGCAATAGGAACTTATCAGGGTCCTGTTATACAGCAGTTACTGAACAGCGACCCAGGACTGGTTCACTTGAAAGGCAAGCTTTCAGTCAAGTATTTGTATACATTCTCTGATGACCAAATGTCATATTCTTATTTATCCAGTATTTGATTTACAATTTATATTACCAGTTAACTTCTGTTTATCACCTACATTTGCAGTATAAGCAAGGATGCCAGGTCCAGGAACGAAAATAATAATAATAGTAACAACGAATTACTCTTTGCTGATGACCAGGCCTTGATATTGCAGATACAGCCATGAATTTGCAACAGCGTCTCACAGCCGTGAATGAAGAAAGTAAATCAAATAACATGAGAATCAGCATTGAAAAGACAGAAGCAATGTCAGTAGGAAGAAGGAAGCAGGATTTTGCCTTTTCGACACTCTTCCGAATACCGGTCCCAAATTATTCACTGCGGAAAACATCCCTCAGGAGGTTATGTAGTAAAACCTTTTAGGCCATCATGATCAGTTTCCACTTGTGCCGTTATTGCTCGCTGGATATCAATGTTTAGACGTTAAGCTAAGCGCCGTGGGGAGGAATCGTTTTCGATCCATTGAAGCGACGTGGAAAAGAATAGATTTAGATCCATTGTTTAAGCGTCTTGGGGAGGAGTAGAGTTTGATCCATTTAAGCGACGTGAATGATTTTTGATCCATTGTTTACATTACCCATTACTGCCCTTGTGGGGTCCAGGGCCAAATATTTTAGGGGAAAGAAAAAATAGATCCACTGCCACATAAAAGTTGTAAAAGGCGACTAATTAGGACTGCTGAAATCGGATGCTTTGGGGCAAAGGGCGCAGATATCGCAGCCTAGCTGAAAACCACAACACAACGTGAGAACCATCCTTTCAAGGGCGAACGAAAAGAACGAAGTTTACCTACCCATGACATTATCATGGAGCATCTCGCCGCCGCTATCGCAGCCTAGCTGTGAACCACAAGAACGAACGAAAGGCGCATATTTTGCAGCTTTGCTGTAAACCACAACACAACGTGCCAACCACCCTGTTAAGGGTTAAAAAATGACCTCTTGAGGCCCTCAATAGGATTTTTTTAACGGTGAATAATTTGGGACCGGTATTCGGAAGAGTGCCGCCTTTTCTGTCATATAATCATATTAATGATCATAATGTCTGTCCATAATACAGCTAGAGAGAGATAGACACTAGCAACCATGAAGCTTTCAGGTCACATTGCTGCTTCAACATTTTATTATTAGAAACATTTGATTATCAGACAAATTAATAATTCCAAATGGCCGCGAATTAATGTTAAAGTATTTGTATAAAGTATCTGATAAAATAAAAAAATAATTGAACAAATAATATATTATTTCATTGGTGCTGGTGGGTAAGCAGACCTACTGGTCTCGTGATTATGGACTCGCCTTCAGCAAGCATTTTATAGGATCAGACTAATTATTGCTTTACTGAGATCAGAGTGAAAAACACAAATATCACAGCCTAGCTGTAAGCCACAATGTGGTAACTATCCTTTTAAGGACAAACAAATGCAGACGAAATGTGGGAAAGTATATATTCTAATATATATAGATATATGTATGCATATACAAAAAGGTACCTGTATTTACATCAAACACAAAAGGCACCGGACACAGTCATTGTCAAAGAGGCCTAAGATATCCCTCTTTAACTTGATACAAATGTTTCCCTGTGTGGGTTCTGGGGCCCTGTTATAGGGAAAGCAAGAATAGACCCACTGCCTACCCAAAAGCATGTCGTAAGAGTCGACTATTTGGGAGCTTCCTTCAAAGTCAGAGTGCATCCGCCTGAGAGGCAAGGAACCAGCAGTCTGCATACAAATGAGTCAGATCTGTAAAACGTATGCACACGCAGCATGTAGGTTCTGGAACAGAACTGCAGTCCAGAAGTAGATGAACAATCAGAACTTTCTGCCAGAGTTTACAGCTGGTGAACGTGAAGAAGATGAAGATATGATCTGTAACATGTTTGTCCCACCCCCCTCCCCCCACATTTCATATTACTTCAAGTATATTGTTTTATATATATATATTTATCATTCAGTACAATAACAATAAAACAATGTTGTGAATGGCAAATAAATAAAGTAATAAACTTGAAATAATATGAAATTTAGAAACATTTTAAAATATAATTTCTATGAATGGTTGAAGGGAGGCTACTTGGATTAAGGGGGGAGGGGGGGGGGGGTATTTGTCTAGAAAGTTGTTAAGGTGGATATTTAATGTGGGGGGGGGGGGGCTGAAAGGGTCTTGCTTACTTCATCACCAGTTAAGAAAAAAACTTGTAATTAAATGGCATATATTTCTGTCTTCAGGCTGGCATGGGATGACGCCTCTGCACCGAGCTTGCCTCGTGGGAGACTATAACATAGTACTTATGTTTATTGAAGCCAACTCTGATGTCAATGCTGTGACTGACTTTCAGGAAACACCGCTCCACTATGCCAGCAAGCGAGGATTTCCAGCTGTTGTTCATCTGCTGATCCGATGTGGGGCCAAAGTTGACTGCAGAGACAACCGAGGTAGAAGTGCCTTACATCACGCAGCCGAGACTGGTTCTGTGTATGTATTATCTATTTATCTAGGTTAATGCTTGATTGTTTTAATGCAGTGACAGAGTCAGACAGACTGAATTCAGAACTGTGAATGTAAGTGTACGAGGGGAAGTAAATAAGTAAGTCACATATGGCTATGGGATGGAGGGAAACTGTAGTTGGCCGTTTCTAAATGTGTCATTAGGTGATAACAACATCAAACTGTATGTCTCTGTTTTCTAGGTGGCGCTAGGTGTTCCATGCGCATTCTCAACACAAACAAAATGGTAACTGTAGTTACGAATGGTACCCTCAAAGAGCAATGTGCTGTTGTGCGATTTTATTGGGGGGGGGGGAGTGGGTTGGCAAAATGGGTCCCTGCAAAGGACATTCCTAAGGAAATGCTTCCTGTTTATGCTGACAATGAATATCCCGTAAAGCGATGTATAGCTGGGTAAAAAAAAAAATTCTCAAGGGCGCTCCAAAATTGTTTATAAAATCTGATCTGGTCATCCTATTGAGATTGCAACTGACGCATCCGGGCAGTGGGTGGAGGAGATGATTAGAAGTGTGACAGGTGAGAAACGGTTGATTCTTTAGCAGCTGCAATAGGGTGCTCACATGATTCAACATAATGCATGATCAATTTAAATTTAATAAAGTGTGCTTAGACATTTCGCATAGGACGCAGAAGATAAGATGAATGTGAAGTGAAAATATGGTTTAGAAAACAGAACACACAGTTATATGCAGCAGGTTTGGGAGGACTGATAAAACTATGGGACAAGTGCATCACTGTTGGTGGAAATAATGTTGAAAAATATAGGAACAGTGTATGTGTAAAATAAATGGTTTTCAGGTTATTATCATCTAGTTTTTTTTTTCTTTTTCTTTTTTGAACAATCGTTTGTACTTACTTATGACTTCCCTTTGTTGGCAGTCTTTTAGTCCTCGGATCGACATATTTTGTTGGATCTCACGAGAAGAGTAACTAAAGTAATCTTTTAACAGCAGGTTGAATTTAAAGAGCATAGAGATGGATAAAGGCAGTGAGAAGAGACTCAGAACATTCTTGTTTCATAGTAGAAAACTTGTGCCATTGATGATACTTTAAAGCTTGTGCCATTGATGATACATACAAGCTTGTGCCATTGATGATACTTTAAAGCTTGTGCCATTGATGATACATACAAGCTTGTGCCATTGATGATACTTAAAAGCTTGTGCCATTGATGATACTTAAAAGCTTGTGCCATTGATGATACTTAGTTAGAAGCTTGTGCTATGGATGATTGTTTGTAGAAAGCCTGTGCTATAGATCTTACAATGACTCTTCTGTGGTAGTCTGTTTATTGATCGACTAACTCATCAGTGTTAAAGTCTGTGATGTCAGTCAACTAACACATCAGTGTTACAAGTCTGTGATGTCAGTCAACTAACTCATCAGTGTTACAAGTCTGTGATGTCAGTCAACTAACTCATCAGTTTACAAGTCTGTCATGTCAATTGACTAACTCATTAGTGTTACAAATCTGTGATGTTAGTCAACTAACTTATCAGTGTTACAAGTTTGTGATGTCAGTCAACTAACTCATTAGTGTTACAAGTCTATGATATCAGTCAACTAACTCATCAGTGTTAAAAGTCTATGATGTCAGTCAACTAACTTATCAGTGTTACAAGTTTGTGATGTTAGTTGACTGTCTCATAATTGTTGCTACATCTTGCTAACTTGTAGTCACCATTTTATTGATTTCTTTGTGGGATCTTAGAGGAGCATGAGGCCATCATTTCTGGAAAGATATCAAGCAAACAGAAAGTAGATCCAGTCAGATTCACATAATCACAGACACAAATGACAAGTGAACGACTGCAGCTAGAGAGCTTTCAAGTAGATCCAGTCAGATTCACATTATCACAGACACAAATGACAAGTGAACAACTGCAGCTAGAGAGCTTTCAAGTAGATCCAGTCAGATTCACATTATCGCAGACACACATGACAAGTGAATGATTGCAGCTAGAGAGCTTTCAAGTAGATCCAGTCAGATTCACATTATCGCAGACACACATGACAAGTGAATGATTGCAGTTAGAGAGCTTTCAAGTAGATCCAGTCAGATTCATATTATCACAGACACAAATGACAAGTGAATAACTGCAGCTAGAGAGCTTTCAAGTAGATCCAGTCAGATTCACATTATCGCAGACACACATGACAAGTGAACGATTGCAGTTAGAGAGCTTTCATCGGCATATTACATGAATCAACAGTAACACAAATATGAACAAGAATGCACAATATCACTTAACTAACATATTTACGAAAGAAATCACATTGCTGTCACGTCATTCTTCAGGGCAACCATAGCTGTAAACATCCTTCAGTTGATAATAATTTGCTCACTTCTTAAAAAGAGGCCAAAAATAAATGCAGAAGAGAATTGGCTTGACGTGTCTTGATTGAGGGCCAGTACTGACAAAAGATATGACAGAAGAAGCAAATGAAATCTCATTCCCTACATACTTTATGTTTTGACCTGCCACTTATTATGGGGGCTTTATTGAACACCATAATCTCTGCAGTCAGGTCTTGGTCAGATATGACTGGTCTACCATAAACAATAGCCTGTCTGTCATTTGTTACGCCAAATGTTGGGCGGCGTATACTAACCCAACAACCCATATTGTGCCAACGTCTTCGGGTGGAGGAGCGCATTGTGGAGGATAATAGCCTTATTTTAAAAAGAGGAAATGCAACCTGAAAACTTTATGTTGTGGCAGGGCAGACCAGGCCCTTGGCCTTGGCTGGCAGCTGGTCTAGGAGGGAAGCTCTGACAGGCAGACCTATGGAGCATTCCTCTGCTGATTCGGCTGCTTCTGCAGTCTGCCTTGTTCCAAATGTACTGGTTTTATCATTCCTTTGGAGTAAACAAGGCAGGTCGAGGGAGGGATCGTTATGCATGGGCAACATATGGTCTCTACAATACTGCCCAGGCTTTGTGCTATGGAGAGGTTGAACTACATCCCTGGCCTCAATCAGTCTCGCTATGGGCTGTGAGTCTCATGCCTCCTCATAGCGCAATATAACACTGACGTCTGCGAAGACGGAAAGATGCCAATCAATCTCCACAGTATATTAAATTATACTCTCTGTGTTTCTCCTGCAGCCCCATTTTTGTGTGGCGAGGGGGAAAGGGGAGATTAACCACAGCCCCCTTACAAGCATGTTGTTAAAGGTGATTAATTAGGGGTTTCCTTTAGACTTGGAATGCATCTAGCTGAGAAGCAAGGAACCAGCAGTTTGCACACTAATAAGTCAGGTCTGTAAAAGGGATATGGATGCAAAACTCTGGAACAAGACCCACATCAAGAACTGGCCGCGAGAGTTTTCAGCTGTGGAACACTGAGAGCAACCACTGGCTGAAATGTTAGGAATGGGTTTAGAATCCTTGCTAAGGTTTGAGATTGTTCTCTGTCGGAGGCAAAAATAAAATCTTAACCTGCACAGTCAGTGGCAACTGCACTAGCCATGTAGCCCTAAAACCTCAGGCTCTAAGACCCTCTTGCCTACACTACAGTGTGGTCAGTACAGGCAGTAGTGGCAGTTAGCAGAAGAGCAAGAAGAAGAAGAAAGAGATGTCATGATACTAAATGAAAGCTGACAGTCTTTTCCATTGCTAGGGAGGTGATCAAGTATTTTGAAGAGACACTGGGGGTCAACACCAGGGAGGTGGACTGTGAGCTGCAGAGCCCCATGCACATTGTCTGCACGCACGGACACATGGACCTGTTCACTTTTCTCATGAGCAAAGGAGTAAGAAGTGTGTTCATCATGATATAAACACTTGTACCATGTGTCCCTGTAAGATGTTCATTGTGATATAAACACTTGTACCATGTAAGATGTTCTTCATGATATAAATACTTGTACCATGTGTCCCTGTAAGATGTTCATCGTGATATAAACACTTGTACCATATGTCCCTGTAAGATGTTGATCAGGATATAAACACTTGTACCATGTGTCCCTGTAAGATGTTCATCATGATATAAACACTTGTAACATGTGTCCCTGTAAAATGTTCATCGTCGTATAAACACTTATGCCATGTGACCCTGTAGGAAGTCTTGTTTTTCCCCTGATATGATAAGGCAGTCCCTTAAGAGGGACATACAGTGGAATAGTGACTGTTGGCTCCAGGAGAGATGGATGGCTCTAGAAATCTCAAACTGACTGCCTGTTTCATTAGAGAGATCCTCATCTAGCAGGTCTTTTGCAGAACATCATCTCACTGTGAGATAGCAGACAGACTCTTGGACTGTTGACTGTACCATCATCTCACTGTGAGACACCAGATAGACTCTTGGACTGTTGACTGTACCATCATCTCACTGTGAGACACCAGATAGACTCTTGAACTGTTGACTGTACCATCATCTCACAAATGGTTTTGCTCATCACATGATCATTAATATCTTTTGTCCACCTTTTACTGGTCCACCCCTGCCTCTTCTCAGGAACCATGCCTTCCATCACTAGTCTTTCAAAGCCAACGTGTTTCAGTGTCAGATAGCCTTCCCCATGTGGGTTCCCCAGTGCCATTGGGATCACAAAGACTAGGCCCACTGTCCCCCAACAAGCATGTTGTAGGAGGCCACTAATTAGGGGTGTTTCCTTTGAAGTTGGATTGCATTTGCATGAGAGGCAGGGAACGAGCAGTCTGCATACAGATAAGTCAGAGCTGTAAAACAAAAGTGCACACAAAACTCAAGCTGTGGATCAAGTTCTAAGAAGAAGAAAAAAAATGTGGAGATCTGACTGCGAGAGATAAACATTCATGTGTAAGAAGGAACAAAGGAAGGAGGAGAAAGTGGGAAATGTCATTTGTTTAAAACTAGTTAAAACTGTTGTATGTTTGTCTCACACAGAGAAGTGACCTTCGGCAGGCAGATGCTGCCGGAAACCTGCCTGTGCATATTTCATCTGAGAAAGGCTTTGGCCACATCACATGGTCTATGCTGTGTGTGCTGGGAGTCTCTGTCCTTCGGCAGACAAACAAGGCAGGCTATACACCTGTGGATCTTGTCTTACAAAACGACAAACATGGGTGAGTCACCTTTGGGATACTCAAGGGGTGTCATGGTAGAAATACTGTAAGGGTACCACAGTCAAGCCCAGTGACTGGCATACTTGCCCTCCAGCCTGGAAGTTGGGTGTTCAGACCCTTGCTGAAAAAGAATTGTTTAATTCTTTCATCCCTGCTGACCGTTGGGATCATGAAGTATTCTGAGAAGTAAAGTGTATCAATATGATGTAGACCAAATCAGCTATCGACCAACTGGAGTGGATGCCACCTGGTGTCAGTTGATCTATACAACTGTGCGGCTAGCACCATATATCTAGCACACATCCAGGTGTGGACAAACTTTCTTTACTGCTTGACTGTAATACTGCTATTGGTCAGTTGCTATGGTCAGACATAAAAATTGTTTTGTTCTGCCCACTGCGTAAGTGTAGAACTTTCCTCAAATGTTGAATAGACAAATTTCTGATCTCTCTATTCTGTGTGTGCACTGAAAGTCTCTGTAGAGTGGGATCTTGACAGCAAATCTGATGTTGCTTTTGGTGGCTGAAGAGGCCATCTGGAGCCTTGCCTTGATCAGAGTTTGGTAGAAAACTGGGACATGAGGGTAAACATGAGGGTCCATTGTTGTCGCCAAGACACTTGATGATGAATATGGGGTGGTAAAGTGGAGTTACAGTCCAACATCTGAGCCAGTTTATCTTATAGATTACCATTTTGTAGCAACATTGAAGAAGTTGTGTTTTGCCTAGTTGTACCTGCTCTGTGATGATAAACATGTGCAGCTGTGGTTAGTGCAATGGCTTACAGCACAGTGTAAGTCACTGCACTAACCACAGCTATGTGTGGCTTATAGTAAAGCTGCTGTACTGTGATATAGACATGTTTTCTGTACATATCAATGTTTATATGTGTCTGTTTGAAGGATGCTGTACTATGATATAGCCATGTTTTTTTTTTGTACATATCAATGTTTATCTGTGTCTGTTTGAAGGATGCTGTACTGGGATATAGCCATGTTTTGTTGTACATATCTGTGTTTATCTGTGTCTGTTTGAAGGATGCTGTACTGTGATATAGCCATGTTTTGTTGTACATATTTGTGTTTATCTGTCTTTATCTGTGTCTGTTTGAAGGATGCTGTACTGTGATATAGCCATGTTTTGTTATACATATCTGTGTTTATCTGTGTCTGTTTGAAGGATGCTGTGCTTTGATATAGCCATATTTTGTTGTACATATCAATGTTTATCTGTGTCTGTTTGAAGGATGCTGTACTGTGATATAGCCATGTTTTGTTGTACATATCAATGTTTATCTGTGTCTGTTTGAAGGATGCTGTACTGTGATATAGCCATATTTTGTTGTACATATCAATGTTTATCTGTGTCTGTTTGAAGGATGCTGTACTGTGATATAGCCATGTTTTGTTGTACATATCAATGTTTATCTGTGTCATTTTGAAGGATGCTGTACTGTGATATAGCCATGTTTTGTTTTACATATCAATGTTTATCTGTGTCTGTTTGAAGGATGCTGTACTGTGATATAGCCATGTTTTGTTGTACATATCAATGTTTATCTGTGTCTGTTTGAAGGATGCTGTACTGTGATATAGCCATATTTTGTTGTACATATCAATGTTTATCTGTGTCTGTTTGAAGGATGCTGTACTGTGATATAGCCATGTTTTGTACATATCAATGTTTATCTGTGTCTGTTTGAAGGATGCTGTACTGTGATATAGCCATGTTTTGTACATATCAATGTTTATCTGTGTCTGTTTGAAGAATGCTGTACTGTGATATAGCCATGTTTTGTTGTACATATCAATATTTATCTGTGTCTGTTTGAAGGATGCTGTACTGTGATATAGCCATGTATTGTTATATACATATTGGTGTTCATTGATGTTGATTATTCTTAGGCACAAAGAACTAGCACCCGTCCTTCAGTTCTACAGTCGTCAGCAGGACTCCTACAGAGTATCAGGGCCCACGCTCAAGTGGTATACCTTGCTGCTGTTTCCTCTACTTCTCTACACGACCTTGATCATCATCTCACAGAACCTGTCTTCCTACCAGTTTGTTGTGTTCCTGCTTCCTGCTGTGTTTTTGTTCTGTCAGAACAATGGATTCATGGATCATCGGATAGACCTTATATCCAGGTTTTGTTTATCATATTTTAAAATGTATTTCTAGATATATAGACAAAAATGCTCACTAACAACAACAAAATTTGTCATGGTGGGGGTAGAAACAGTGTTATCTAAATGGAACCTCTCTCCTGATGTGTAAGTAAAACCTTGATAATAAACAGATGTGCACCTGAAGACTGTAGAGATGAGGTTTCTGAAGCCACAGTTTTAACTGATATAACAATAAAAGAGAGATTACTCTTGACAAATTGATTCCAAAGTGCCACATTCTTTGACATTGTTATCTTCTGCTTCTAAGCATTCACCAGCAGTAAACTCCGATTGAAAATTCCAGTTCTTTGTCCACTTCTAGACTGGTCTTGTTACAGAACTTGAGTTTTGTGTGCACATCCATTTTACAAGTGTGGCTTATATGTATGCACACTTTAATTTCTCACCTATCGGGCTGATGAACTCCGACTTAAAGGGCAGTAACCCTAAATAGTCATCTTTTACAACATGTGCCTGTTAGAGGGCAGTAGGTCTAGTCTGCTTCCCCACAAATTGGGGCTTCTGAACCCACATGGTGAGGCATTGTTATGAGGGAAGGCATTCCTTCAAAGTCTGCCTAAGAGACAAGGGGACCAACAGTCTGCACACAGAGAAGCCGTACCTCGTCCAAAGGTGGACGAACAACCAGAACATTTCAGTGGAGTTTACAGCTGGTGAACACAGAAAAAGAAGAAAATGGAAAGCAAACTTTTAAACTTTGTGATATCTGTTGAATTTTGTAGGAGAAGAACAGAAAGGTTACAATACTATAACTAGCTAAATGGCTTGTTGAGAGGGCACTGTAGGAAACACTTAAAAACCCAATTTCCCCCACCCCCCACCCCCCCTAACTTTTGTTTTTTTTAAATAAACTAACTTTTTTTTTGCGCGTCACTAATATACTTATAAATTTGTTAAAATTGTCTTTTGTTTATTTTGTTATTTTGATGTTTGAAACATCTCAAGTGAATACTCGGTAAACACGGGCAGAATGAAGCATTGAATGGAGTACATTCCCTGGGGATATAATAAACATGTATCTATCAGGTTACTCGCCCTTTGACCCTGTGAGACCTTATGGGAATTCTAACACTGAGGCTACAGGCAGATTATGACCTCAACATTCAAACACTGAGGCTGCAGGCAGATTATGACCTCAGAATTCTAACACTGAGGCTGCAGGCAGATTATGACCTCAACATTCTAACACTGAGGCTACAGGCAGATTATGACCTCAACATTCTAAGACCGAGGCTACAGGCAGATTATGACCTCAACATTCTAACACTGAGGCTACAGACAGATTATGACCTCAACATTCTAACACTGTGACTACAGACAGATTATGACCTCAGCATTCTAACACCGAGACTACATGCAGATTATGACCTCAACATTCTAAGACCGAGGCTACAGGCAGATTATGACCTCAACAATCTAACACCGAGGTTACAGGCAGATTATGACATCAACATTCTAACACTGAGGCTACAGGCAGATTATGACCTCAACATTCTAACACTGAGGCTACAGGCAGATTATGACCTCAACATTCTAACACTGAGGCTACAGGCAGATTATGACCTCAACATTCGAACACTGAGGCTTCAGGCAGATTATGACCTCAACATTCTAACACTGAGGCTACAGGCAGAATATGACCTTAATGTTCTAACACTGAAGCTGCAGGCAGATTATATCATCAACATACAATGATATAAATTGTTCTGAGGTTTATAAAATAGATTGCATTGAATTTTTTTTCTGTTTTGCGAAATCAGTTCTTTCTTGTACTTACAGCTGTCATTGTAACTGTTGTTTGTCATAGTCTGCAGATTAATATTTTAATGTAGTTCATTTGATGATGTGGTGATGAATTCTGTCAATAATGATGTTGATGTTGATCACCAGGTGGCCCAACCCGCTGTTCGCTGGAATCTTTGGGGCAGGAATATTTCACACTGTTGTCGCTTACTTCTGGATTCTCTACCCTTGTATCCTTGTATATCACAGCAGTGAGCAGCAGCTTGTGTATCATCTGTAAAATATATCAAAATAATTTGTAAAAAGTAGTAAGTGGTGTGGTAGTGAACCACAAAAGAGAATTCCATAACATCTGATAGATAAGTGGAGTGGTGGCCTGACATCTGATAGATGAGTGGAGTGGTGGCCTGACATGTGATAGATGAGTGGAGTGGTGACCTGACATCTGATAGATGAGTGGAGTGGTGGTCTGACATCTGATAGATGAGTGGAGTGGTGGCCTGACATCTGATAGATGAGTGGAGTGGTGGTCTGACATCTGATAGATGAGCGGAGTGGTGGCCTGACATCTGATAGATGAGTGGAGTGGTGGCCTGACATCTGATAGATGAGTGGAATGGTGGCCTGACATCTGATAGATGAGTGGAGTGGTGGCCTGACATCCAATAGATGAGTGGAGTGGTGGCCTGACATCTGATAGATGAGTGGAGTGGTGGCCTGACATCTGATAGATGAGTGGAGTGGTGGCCTGACATGTGATAGATGAGTGGAGTGGTGACCTGACATCTGATAGATGAGTTGAGTGGTGGCCGGACATCTGATAGATGAGTGGAGTGGTGGTCTGACATCTGATAGATGAGTGGAGTGGTGGCCTGATAGATGAGTGGAATGGTGGCCTGACATATGATAGATGAGTGGAGTGGTGGTCTGACATCTGATAGATGAGTGGAGTGGTGGCCTGATAGATGAGTGGAATGGTGGCCTGACATATGATAGATGAGTGGAATGGTGGCCTGACATCTGATAGATGAGTGGAGTGGTGGCCTGACATCTGATAGATGAGTGGAGTGGTGGTCTGACATCTGATAGATGAGTGGAGTGGTGGTCTGACATCTGATAGATGAGTGGAATGGTGGCCTGACATCTGATAGATGAGTGGAGAGGTGGCCTGACATCTGATAGATGAGTGGAGTGGTGGCCTGACATCTGATAGATGTGTGTGACAATACCACTTAGGGAGAGCAGTGAATGGTGACACAGTAGAGAAAAAACTGCATGGGGTGAGACCAGGACACTAACCTGATCTGTGATTCTGGTGATGGTGAAACATGACAGCTTGCTCTTGTTAGCACACATGGTGATGATGATGACTTTGTAATTACTGTGACTTTTTAGAGCTACCTTATCCTCAAGTATTTGTAGGTGGGAGAGTTTGTAGACATGCATGTTGTTAGAGTATGTTTTGATGATGTGTTTTTATGAATCAGTGAGATACATTAGAGCACTGTTGTAATATATCAGTGACATTAGAGCACTGTTGTAATATATGAGTGACATTAGAGCACTGTTGTAATATATGAGTGACATTAGAGCACTGTTGTAATATATCAGTGACATTAGAGCACTGTTGTAATATATGAGTGACATTAGAGCACTGTTGTAATATATGAGTGACATTAGTGCACTTTTGTAATATATGAGTGACATTAGAGCACTTTTGTAATATATGAGTGACATTAGAGCACTGTTGTAATATATGAGTGACATTAGAGCACTTTTGTAATATATGAGTGACATTAGAGCACTGTTGTAATATATCAGTGACATTAGAGCACTGTTGTAATATATCAGTGACATTAGAGCACTGTTGTAATATATCAGTGACATTAGAGCACTGTTGTAATATATGAGTGACATTAGAGCACTGTTGTAATATATGAGTGACATTAGAGCACTGTTGTAGTATATGAGTGACATTAGAGCACTGTTGTAATATATGAGTGACATTAGAGCACTGTTGTAATATATGAGTGACAATAGAGCACTGTTGTAATATATGAGTGACATTAGAGCACTGTTTTAATATATGAGTGACATTAGAGCACTGTTGTAATATATGAGTGACATTAGAGCACTGTTGTAATATATGAGTGACATTAGAGCACTGTTGTAATATATGAGTGACATTAGAGCACTGTTGTAATATATGAGTGACATTAGAGCACTGTTGTAATATATGAGTGACATTAGAGCACTGTTGTAATATATGAGTGACATTAGAGCACTGTTGTAATATATGAGTGACATTAGAGCACTGTTGTAATATATGAGTGACATTAGAGCACTGTTGTAATATATGAGTGACATTAGAGCACTGTTGTAATATATGAGTGACATTAGAGCACTGTTGTAATATATGAGTGACATTAGAGCACTGTTGTAATATATGAGTGACATTAGAGCACTGTTGTAATATATGAGTGACATTAGAGCACTGTTGTAGTATATGAGTGACATTAGAGCACTGTTGTAATATATGAGTGACATTAGAGCACTGTTGTAATATATCAGTGACATTAGAGCACTGTTGTAATATATGAGTGACATTAGAGCACTGTTGTAATATATGAGTGACATTAGAGCACTGTTGTAGTATATGAGTGACATTAGAGCACTGTTGTAATATATGAGTGACATTAGAGCACTGTTGTAGTATATGAGTGACATTAGAGCACTGTTGTAATATATGAGTGACATTAGAGCACTGTTGTAATATATGAGTGACAATAGAGCACTGTTGTAATATATGAGTGACATTAGAGCACTGTTTTAATATATGAGTGACATTAGAGCACTGTTGTAATATATGAGTGACATTAGAGCACTGTTGTAATATATGAGTGACATTAGAGCACTGTTGTAATATATGAGTGACATTAGAGCACTGTTGTAATATATGAGTGACATTAGAGCACTGTTGTAATATATGAGTGACATTAGAGCACTGTTGTAATATATGAGTGACATTAGAGCAATGTTGTAATATATGAGTGACATTAGAGCACTGTTGTAATATATGAGTGACATGAGAGCCAGCTTTCCGCTGGCTAGAGAACACGACACACACACACACACATTGTAATTGTAACTGATTCAGAAAGCATGCTGAGGAAGATCAGAACAGGTATGCTTCGTGCAGAGTGGCATGCTTTGCTGCGGAGGACACGAGTGAGGAGTATTGTCTAGATTTTTTCACTGGGTTACGCCGGTGTGTTGGGAAATGAACAGGCGGACAGACTGGCTGGCTCTGCACAACTTAGTGGAATACTGCTACATGATAGGGCAGACGTGGTTAGTGCCTTGTGGAAGAGCATGTACAATGCGGAGGAGCAGATGGATCACCACAGTCTGGTGAGATTGATGCAGTTGGGGGTGATGAGAGGTTCTGGCAGAAGCTCAAGGCTCAGAGGAAAGGCAAGACGGACGTTTAATCAGAAAGCTACTGGCACCATTAGTATCGGAACTCTTCGCTGGCTGCTGAAGATGGGGACGGGGCACTTATGGGAATGCCCCGAGTGCTGTGATGTCGGTTCTTGAATCAAATCAAATCAAATCAGAGCACTGTTGTAATATATGAGTGACATTAGAGCACTGTTGAAATACATGAGTAACATGAGAGGACTGTTGTAGTATATGAAATACGTTAGAGGACTGTTGCAATATATGAAATACTTTAGAGGACTGTTGTAATATATGAAATACTTTAGAGGACTGTTGCAATATATGAAATAGGTTAGAGGACTGTTGTAATATATGAAATACATTAGAGGACTGTTGTAATATATGAAATAGGTTAGAGGACTGTTGTAATATATGAAATACGTTAGAGGACTGTTGTAATATATGGAATACGTTAGAGGAATGTTGTAATATATGGAATACGTTAGAGGACTGTTGTAAAATATGAAATATGTTAAAGGACTTGTAATATATGGAATATGTTAGAGGACTGTTGTAAAAAATGGAATACGTTAGAGGACTGTTGTAATATATGGAATACGCTAGAGGACTGTTGTAATATATGGAATACGTTAGAGGACTGTTGTAATATATGGAATACGTTAGAGGACTGTTGTAATATATGGAATATGTTAGAGGACTGTTGTAATATATGGAATACGTTAGAGGACTGTTGTAATATATGGAATATGTTAGAGGACTGTTGTAATATATGGAATATGTTAGAGGACTGTTGTAATATATGGAATATGTTAGAGGACTGTTGTAATATATTTGTGACTGCTTCTGTTTGATACAGCTTATTTATTGTGAGGGGTGTCATGTGGCCACTACTGCCAACACCAATAGCTAGAGTGGATGCAACAAGGTGGAGCAGCTGGAGTGGATGCCACCTTGTGGACCAGCTGGAGTGGATGCCTCCTGGTGGACCAGCTAGAGTAAATGCCACCTGGTGGACCAGCTAGAGTAAATGCCACCTGGTGGACCAGCTAGAGTAAATGCCACCTGGTGGACCAGCTAGAGTGGATGCCACCTGGTGGACCAGCTGGAGTAGATGCCACCTGGTGGACCGTCTAGAGTGGATGCCACCTGGTGGACCAGCTAGAGTAGATGCCACCTGGTGGACCGTCTAGAGTGGATGCCACCTGGTGGACCGTCTAGAGTGGATGCCACCTGGTGGACCGTCTAGAGTAAATGCCACCTGGTGGACCAGCTGGAGTGGATGCCTCCTGGTGGACCAGCTAGAGTAAATGCCACCTGGTGGACCAGCTAGAGTAAATGCCACCTGGTGGACCAGCTGGAGTAGATGCCATCTGGTGGACAAGCTAGAGTGGATGCCACCTGGTGGACTAGCTAGAGTAAATGCAACCTGGTGGACCAGCTAGAGTGGATGCCACCTGGTAGACCAGCTGGAGTAGATGCCACCTGGTGGAGCAGCTGGAGTGGATGCCACCTGGTGGACCGTCTAGAGTGGATGCCACCTGGTGGACCGTCTAGAGTGGATGCCACCTGGTGGACCGTCTAGAGTAAATGCCACCTGGTGGACCAGCTGGAGTGGATGCCTCCTGGTGGACCAGCTAGAGTAAATGCCACCTGGTGGACCAGCTGGAGTGGATGCCTCCTGGTGGACCAGCTAGAGTAAATGCCACCTGGTGGACCAGCTAGAGTAAATGCCACCTGGTGGACCAGCTAGAGTAAATGCCACCTGGTGGACCAGCTAGAGTAAATGCCACCAGGTGGACCAGCTGGAGTAAATGCCACCTGGTGGACCAGCTGGAGTAGATGCCACCTGGTGGACCATCTAGAGTGGATGCCACCTGGTGGACCAGCTAGAGTGGATGCCACCTGGTGGACCATCTAGAGTGGATGCCACCTAGCGGACCGTCTAGAGTGGATGCCACCTGGTGGACCATCTAGAGTAAATGCCACCTGGTGGACCAGCTGGAGTGGATGCCTCCTGGTGGACCAGCTAGAGTAAATGCCACCTGGTGGACCAGCTAGAGTAAATGTCACCTGGTGGACCAGCTGGAGTAGATGCCATCTGGTGGACCAGCTAGAGTGGATGCCACCTGGTGGACCAGCTGGAGTAGATGCCACCTGGTGGACAAGCTAGAGTGGATGCCACCTGGTGGATCAGCTAGAGTAAATGCAACCTGGTGGACCAGCTAGAGTGGATGCCACCTGGTGGACCAGCTGGAGTAGGTGCCACCTGGTGGACCAGCTGGAGTAGGTGCCACCTGGTGGAGCAGCTGGAGTAGATGCCACCTGGTGGACCGTCTAGAATGGATGCCACCTGGTGGACCAGCTGGAGTGGATGCCTCCTGGTGGACCAGCTAGAGTAAAGGCCACCTGGTAGACCAGCTGGAGTAGATGCCACCTGGTGGAGCAGCTAGAGTAGATGCCACCTGGTGGAGCAGCTAGAGTAGATGCCACCTGGTGGAGCAGCTGGAGTAGATGCCACCTGGTGGACAAGCTAGAGTGGATGCCACCTGGTGGACAAGCTAGAGTGGATGCCACCTGGTGGACCGTCTAGAGTGGATGCCACCTGGTGGACCAGCTAGAGTGGATGCCACCTGGTGGACCGTCTAGAGTGGATGCCACCTGGTGGACCGTCTAGAGTGGATGCCACCTGGTGGACCGTCTAGAGTGGATGCCACCTGGTGGACCAGCTAGAGTGGATGCCACTTGGTGGACCAGCTGGAGTGGATGCCACCTGGTGGACCAGCTTTAGTAGATGCCACCTGGTGGACCAGCTGGAGTGAATGCCACCTGGTGGACCAGCTGGAGTGGATGCCACCTGGTGGACCAGCTGGAGTAGATGCCACCTGGTTAACCAGGTCCCATTGGTAACCACTAGGAAATTAGTGGCACTTATTGCTTTACAGAGTAGCTGGGATTGACATACTGCACTGTGTTCACATTGGTAGGTGGTCACTCGCTTTAAGAAGATATCAACAAATATTTGGAAATATTATTTGGATTTGGTTCTTAACAAGAGGGTTTGTTATGAGCTGATCACTTGCCTTATGCAACGCTACAATGCAATGAAAGCAAAACAAAATACCTGTTGTGCCAAGCCAGATTATAAAGTAGGATAAAATGGTAGTGAAAGAGCTGGCAAGTCATGCAATTGGGAAGAAGCATGGACAGAGCTGATATCATCAATGCTGTACGGACTAGGTTAGGGGATAATGTTAAATATCTGATGCTAACACGTCCAACATCTGAGCCAGTTTATCTTATAGATTACCATTTTGTAGCAACATTGAAGAAGTTGTGTTTTGCCTAGTTGTACCTGCTCTGTGATGATAAACATGTGCAGCTGTGGTTAGTGCAATGACTTACAGCACAGTGTAAGTCACTGCACTAACCACAGCTATGTGTGGCTTATAGTAAGCTTTCTGAAACACGTCTATGCTTCTTTGAAGTAAAGACAGGAGATACTATAACTAATTTCTTATGGGAACAATCAATTTAGGCACATTGGAGTGGCTGCTGCATCGGAGGACTGAGCAAACATGGGAATGCTTAGTGTGCAAAGGGGGTTGATTGTGATAACATAAAGTAGAATACGACACTTCAAGATAGCTGTGATAGAAATGGCTGCTGTGTCAAGCCAGATAACATAAAGTAGAATACGACACTTCAAGATAGCTGTGATAGAAATGGCTGCTGTGTCAAGCCAGATAATAAAGTAGAATACGACACTTCAAGATTGCTGTGATAGAAATGGCTGCTGTGTCAAGCCAGATAACATAAAGTAGAATACGACACTTCAAGATAGCTGTGATAGAAATGGCTGCTGTGTCAAGCCAGATAATAAAGTAGAATACGACACTTCAAGATAGCTGTGATAGAAATGGCTGCTGTGTCAAGCCAGATAATAAAGTAGAATACGACACTTCAAGATAGCTGTGATAGAAATGGCTGCTGTGTCAAGCCAGATAATAAAGTAGGAGAGGACACTTCAAGATAGCTGTGTGTTATTTCTGTAACTGATGTCGTAGATCTGTACACAACCTGGTGGATCACCTGTTTGTCATGGACTGTGTGTCCAGTGCTGTTGTTTCTTTATTATCGCTTGCTCAGGCAAGACCCAGGTGAGTTTGTCCAGGTGTTTTTGTTTAAGAATCATCACGGTCAAGTTTTAACACTCTAATTTCAATCTATGGGGACTGGCTGTAGTCCAGTAACTATCATATTTGCCTGACAAGCCTAACGGTTATGAGTTTGAATCTTCATTAAAGCCAATTGGTACAATTGCCCAGGCTCCAAGGTCACCCCAGACTAAAATGTCAGCAGAAAGTGTTTAGAGAAGTAAAGGCTTCCAGCATGATAATGACCAGACTGTGCCTTTATTTCCATTTTGTCCAAAAAATGTAGTGGCTGTAGAATGCAGCAGCTAAATGTGGATTCAGCATGGATGGATGCGCCTCTTCACACACTTGGTGTTCTGCTCTTTCAGGGCTACAGTCTCAGCACTGGTTTATTCCATTGGTATATTGTTACTCACACACACAAATCACCTTTTAGTCAAGGCTGTTTATAATGATCAGGGTAAAAAATGCAGTCTATAAACAGAGACTCTTACAAAAAATTTGGTTAAAGTAGGAATTCTCCCCCCCCCACCCCCCCTCTCACCCCCACCCCCTCCTCCACTCTACAAAGGGGGAGACACACAGGACCTGGGCTTCCCAGTTGTCAGCACTTCTGATTATGTTATTTTTGAATGTTTACTCCCCGTGTGGGTTCCGGGGCCCTGTTATAGGGGAAACAAGAGTTGACTCACTGCCTACCCTAAAGTATGTCGTAAGAGTCGACTAATTGCGAGCTTCTTTCAAAGCCAGAGTGAATCTGCCTGAGAGGCAAGGAACCAGCAGTCTGCATACAAATGAGTCAGATCTGTAAAACAGATGCTCACGCAACACTCAGGTTCTGGAACAGGACTACAGTCCAGAAGTGGATGAACAACCAGAATATTTCGCCAGAGTTTACAGCTGGTGAACGCCAAGTAGAAGAAGAATATTTACAGGAATAAATTCATGATTCTCAACTGTAATTGTGTCATTATTGAGTGTTTCTTTGATTGAACTCCCATCATTCATAATTCTCAACTGTAATTGTGTCATTATTGAGTGTTTCTTTGATTTAACTCCCATCATTCATGATTCTCAACTGTAATTGTGTCATTATTGAGTGTTTCTTTGATTGAACTCCCATCATTCATGATTCTCAACTGTAATTGTGTCATTATTGAGTGTTTCTTTGATTGAACTCCCATCGTTCATGATTCTCAACTGTAGTTGTGTCATTATTGAGTGTTTCTTTGATTGAACTCCCATCATTCATGATTCTCAACTGTAGTTGTGTCATTATTAAGTGTTTCTTTGATTGAACTCCCATCATTCATGATTCTCAACTGTAATTGTGTCATTATTGAGTGTTTCTTTGTTGCACTCCCATGCAGGAGCAATGGTGACATCAGCAAAGGACCCCAACACCGGAAAGACCTTGAATCTAGTTGACCTGTGCATGATGCATGACCCTCAGTACATCTACTGTCCTGTCTGTGATGTGAGTACAAACACCAACATCTACTATCCTGTCTGTGATATGAGTACAAACACCAACATCTACTGTCCTGTCTGTGATGTTAGTACAAACACCAACATCTACTGTCCTGTCTGTGATGTGAGTACAAACACCAAACTGATATTTCCAGATTCCATCAGTTACAGTCACATTTATCATGTTCATTGCTCATCTTCACTTTTTTCCCAAGAGGGTCAGTGGTTGGTCACTTTCATACCCACACAGACCCCAAGAGGGTCAGCGGTTGGTCACTTTCATGCCCACACAGACCCCAAGAGGGTCAGTGGTTGGTCACTTTCATGCCCACACAGATCCCAAGAGGGTGAGGCTGGTTGGTCACTTTCATGCCCACACAGACCCCAAGAGGGTCAGTGGTTGGTCACTTTCATGCCCACACAGACCCCAAGAGGGTGTGGGTGGTTGGTCACTTTCATGCCCACACAGACCCCAAGAGGGTCAGTGGTTGGTCACTTTTATTTGCTACATTTCCAGTTTGTAAATCTTTCTTGTGGCAGACTTGCAGAGTTCTGTGTCAGTGTAGTGATGCTAAAAAAAAGGTATCACATAAAGCATTTGACCCCTTGGGAGAATTGGGGAAGTCCGTAGATTGAGAGACATGATGTGAGAACCGAGATTGGGTGAGCTCGCCTGGGAACGAAAAGTCTGGGGACTAGGAAGTCATTCTGTGACAGAACCCCAGAGAGATAGGAGTGACAGTAGATCCAGAGTGAACGTTGATCCTGAATGGCGAGGGGTGAAAGTTGTGAAATGGTTGTAGCAAAGCCACCGTGAACCTGAACCCTAAAACAGCCCGTGCTGATTGTGTATATTTTGTCTCTGACATATTTTCAAAACAATGTTTTCCCGTAATGAATTTAAATAATGCAGACACAAACAATACATTGCACAATTTATTGCTAGGCATATTTCTATGTGGGGGAATCATATTTATTAGTTTCGCAATGACAGAAATAAGAGAGAGAGAGAGAGAATGATGATTTTAGATGTATGTTAACACTCTCATGGACCCCTTAAATTAGCTCTGCAGACACCGGGCCACAAATTGGGAACCACTAGTCCAGCTGAAGACAGCTGGCAGATGTGAATGCCAGGACAAGACGCCCTCTCAAGGGCATACCTAATTATGATACTAATACAGATACTATATTTAGGGATTGTGGGTAATGTTTGACATGCTTGCTTGTCTCTTGCAGATCGTCACCACAAAGGTCACCAAACACTGCCGGCTGTGTGAGCGCTGCTACCTGCACATGGATCACCACTGCCTGTTCCTGCTGAAGTGTGTGGCCAGCAACAACCACGTCCTGTTTCTGTGGCTGCTGATCATCGCCAGCATCAACATGAGTTTTTATTGTCTGGGATTCTGTCTCTACACTAGAGCTGTTCTCCCAGAGGTGGCTTACACTGACTTGTTCAGGCATCTGCTGCACACGGAAGCCTGGCCATTTTCTCTTCTGTGTTTGAATGTGGCATCCTTGATGTGGACCTCCAGTCTCATCTACCAACAGTACACCGTTGTAGTCAAGGGCTGTACCTCCTACTTCAATGAGTGGAAGGCAAGACAGTACCCATTGTCAGTACACCAGTCCCTCAGCAACTTTCTTCACTTTCTTGTCAACATGCCTCTTCCACACACAAATCCACACTCGCCACTGTTTACACCCGGGGCCACACCTTCAGCCAACATCAGAAACATCCCAGCACTGCCCAGCAACAACAAATATTTGAGTGATATCCAGGTTATATAATGACACAGTCTGAATCCAGGTGTTTGTTTGTCAGTCCATCTCACATTGTCATAATATACATGGTGTCCACTATATGTGGCAGTCCAGTGTGAAAGTCATATAAACATAGTCACAGTGTACCTGGCAGTCCACTGTATGTGACAGTCCAGTGTGAAAGTCATATAAACATAGTCACAGTGTACCTGGCAGTCCACTATATGTGACAGTCCAGTGTGAAAGTCATATAAACATAGTCACAGTGTACCTGGCAGTCCACTATATGTGACAGTCCAGTGTGAAAGTCATATAAACATAGTCACAGTGTAACTGGCAGTCCACTGTATGTGACAGTCCATTCTCACAACCCTATAAACATTGTCAAAGTGTACATGGTAGTCGAGTGTACAAGGCAGTTCAGCCTTGCAGTCATATGAACATTGTCACAGCGTACATGGCAGTTATGTCTCACAGTCATATGAACATTGTTGCAGTGTACATGGCGGTCATGTCTCAAAGTCATATGAACATTGTCACAGTGTACATGGCAGTCATGTCTCACAGTCATATGAACATTGTCACAGTGTACATGGCAGTTATGTCTCACAGTCATATGAACATTGTCACAGTGTACATGGCATTTATGTCTCAAAGTCATATGAACATTGTCACAGTGCACATGGCAGTCATGTCTCACAGTCATATAAAGCATTATCACAGTGTACATGGCAGTCATGTCTCACAGTCATGTGAACATTGTCACAGAGTACATGGCAGTCATGTCTCACAGTCATATGAACATTGTCACAGTGCACATGGCAGTCATGTCTCACAATTATATGAACATTGTCACAGTGTACATGGCAGTCATGTCTCACAGTCATATGAGGCATTGTCACAGTGTACATGGCAGTTATGTCTCACAGTCATATGAACATTGTCACAGTGTACATGGCAGTCATGTCTCACAGTCATATGAACATTGTCACAGTGTACATGGCAGTCATGTCTCACAGTCATATGAACATTGTCACAGTGTACATGGCAGTCATGTCTCACAGTCATATGAACATTGTCACAGTGTACATGGCAGTCATGTCTCACAATTATATGAACATTGTCACAGTGTACATGGCAGTCATGTCTCACAGTCATATGAGGCATTGTCACAGTGTACATGGCAGTCATGTCTCACAGTCATATGAACATTGTCACAGTGCACATGGCAGTCATGTCTCACAGTCATATAAAGCATTGTCACAGTGTACATGGCAGTCATGTCTCACAGTCATATAAAGCATTGTCACAGTGTACATAGCGGTCATGTCTCACAGTCATATGAACATTGTCACAGTGTACATGGCAGTCATGTCTCACAGTCATATGAAACATTGTCACAGTGTACATGGCAGTTATGTCTCACAGTCATATGAACATTGTCACAGTGTACATGGCAGTCATGTCGCACAGTCATATGAACATTGTCACAGTGTACATGGCAGTCATGTCTCACAGTCATATGAACATTGTCACAGTGTACATGGCAGTCATGTCGCACAGTCATATGAAGCATTGTCACAGTGTACATGGCAGTCATGTCTCACAGTCATATAAAGCATTGTCACAGTGTACATGGCAGTCATGTCTCACAGTCATATGAAACATTGTCACAGTGTACAAGGCATTTATGTCTCACAGTCATATGAACATTGTCGCAGTGTACATGGCAGTTATGTCTCACAGTCATATAAACATTGTCACAGTGTACATGGCAGTCATATGAAGCATTGTCACAGTGTACATGGCAGTCATGTCTCACAGTCATATGAAGCATTGTCACAGTGTACATGGCAGTCATGTCTCACAGTCATATGAAGTCGCAGTGTACATGGCAGTTATGTCTCACAGTCATATGAACATTGTCACAGTGTACAAGGCATTTATGTCTCACAGTCATATGGACATTGTCACAGTGTACATGGCAGTTATGTCTCACAGTCATGGTGTAACTTTGTCGTTGTTCCCTGTCTTCTGTACCGTATACATTCTCATTTTCAGCAGCCTAATTGTGCATTTGGATTTTTAGGCTTGAATCAGTTCTCATATTTTGCTTTTAAAATTCCTTTGGCATTTAGATCTTTTTAGCCACAATATGGTGATTTTAAAATGAATGCTGTACATTCTAATTTTGAACAATTTTACTCTACAAATGAATTCACATATTTTTATTTCATGAAGTTTCCTCAGATGTTTACATGATTAATTGTCATTTGTTTAGCGGTATTACTCTATATTCTGCTGTACAGTAATTTTATTTTATATTTTAAATTTATGAAAGCATTTTCCTGTTCATTTCCTGGTGTTTATCTTACATTTTTATTGCTCATATTCTTAGACATTTGACTGTAAGTTCTGACTCATAAAAGGTTTACAGTACAATCTGCTTTGGAGAAGGTTGACTGTACATTTTGACTTTGAGAAGGTTGACTGTACATTCTAACTTTGAGGAGGTTGACTGTACGTGTAAGGTTACACAAGTTAATGTATTTTGATTTTGATTTTGAAGAATGTTCTTCTTGGCTTTGATGGCAGTTAACTAAACATAACACAGATCCTGACTGGAAAGCTCAGTGATGGCAGCGAACTAAACATAACACACATACTGACTGGAAAGCTCAGTGATGGCAGCGAACTAAACATAACACACATATCCTTACTGGAAAGCTCAGTGATGGCAGCGAACTAAACATCACACACATCCTGACTGGAAAGCTCAGTGATGGCAGTGAAATAAACATAACACACATCCTGACTGGAAAGCTCAGTGATGGCAGCGAACTAAACATAACACACATCCTGACTGGAAAGCTCAGTGATGGCAGCGAACTAAACTAAATGTTTTAACCAAAGTCTTTATCAAGGGAGTACAAAAAGCAACACACACGGACTAGAAAACTGAGGGGAGCTTGCAGACAGTAAACTAAGCCAGCACAGATACCTCCATACAGAGTTTTGTGTGTAGTCTACACCAGCTCACAGATACCTCCATACAAAGTTGTGTGTGTAGTCTACACCAGCTCACAGATACCTCCATACAAAGTTGTGTGTAGTCTACACCAACTCACAGATGTCTCCATACAGAGTTGTGTGTGTAGTCTACACCAGCTCACAGATGCCTCCATACAAAGTTGTGTGTATAGTCTACACCAGCTCACAGATACCTCCATACAAAGTTGTGTGTGTAGTCTACACCAGCTCACAGATACCTCCATACAGAGTTGTGTGTGTAGTCTACACCAGCTCACAGATACCTCCATACAGAGTTTTGTGTGTAGTCTACACCAGCTCACAGATGCCTCCACACAGTTACTGGTATTATCATATGAATAAAACATGCTTATCGATGAAATGCAACTGCAGTGTGAAAGACGGGTGTTTGGAAGGAGCGATGTAAGACGGGCCGGCGTGTTCAATTTGTGACCCTTTGAAAATAAAGTGTGTTTGTTTTTTATGTGAGCAGTCTCTGTACCAGCTCAGATACATTCACACAAAGTTGTGAGGGGGGTCTATATTGTGAGGGGAGTCTCTATTGTGAGGGGGTTCTGCATTGTGAGGGGAGTCTGTATTGTGAGGGGAGTCTATATTGTGAGGAAAGTCTGCATTGTGAGGGGAGCCTGCATTGTGAGGGGAGCCTGCATTGTGAGGGGAGCCTGCATTGTGATGGGAGTCTGCATTGTGAGTGGAGTCTGCATTGTGTGGGGAGTCTGCAATGTAAGGGGAGTCTGCAATGTGAGGGGAGTCTGTATTAGCTCTCAGGTACAAATATCCATAAAACTGCACCTAATGATTAGCTGTTACTAGAACAGCTAAGAGGAAGAAGAAAATAAGTGAGTGAAATAGTTGATGTTTAGAAAGAAGATGTGGGAAATTAAAGAAAATCGCTTGCATTACTGAAATAGTTGATGTTGAGGTAGAAGTGAAATAGTGGATGATGAGGTGGAAGTGAAATAGTGGATGATGGGGTGGAAGACACGTATAATTTCTATTTATAATTCAAATATCAACGGCTATAAAGGGAAACATTCAAATAATTCTCACTGATGTGGCAGGGGTTTCAGTTATGGCAGCAGACAAGACTTAATTCTTACTACTTGTTACTGGTTATGACAGCAAGTGTTTATTTAATTGTTGTGTAAACCTTTTCTGATATCAGTTGTCTTTTTTAGGTTATTTTTTAAATGTTATTTGTGTTTCCATATTAACGTGTGTGTGTTTTTTTTTTTTATAGAGTTGTCTACAGATGAAAGAATCCATTTTTAATGAGGTCACAGGTAGTCTCAGCAGCAGTAGAAGCTTCTGCTCTACCCACTTGAATTCCTTTGTGGATTCCAGAGCCACATTTTGGGAAAAATAAGAATAGACCCACTGCCCCGTGCCTGTCATAATTGTCTACTAATTCGGGGTTTTTCCGTCAACGTCAGAGTGCATTCAATAGATGGACTCATGCTGGTACCAGTTATTAGATGTGTACAGTCATAGATGATAGTATGACTCATGATGTAGTTATTAGATCATGCCTGTACTCATGATGTACCAGTTATTAGATACTCATGATGTACCAGTTATTAGATGGACTCATGTTGTACCAGTCAATAGATGGACTCATGATGTACCATGTTATTAGATAGTACCAGTTATTAGACCAGCCAATAGATGGACTCATGCTGTACCAGTTATTAGATGGACTCATGTTGTACCAGTTATTAGATGGACTCATGATGCAGTATGGACTCATGATGTGCCAGTTATTAGATGGACTCATGATGTTGTACCCAGGACTATTAGATTAGATGGACTCATGATGTGCCAGTTATTAGATGGACTCATGCTGTACCAGTCACTCATGATGTGCCAGTTATTAGATGGACTCATGATGTGCCAGTTATTAGAAGTACTCATTAGATGGACATGACTCATGATGTACCAGTTATTAGATGGACTCATGATGTACCAGTTATTAGATG